GTATGGTTAAATAGCAGTTTTTGCCTGAAAAAAAAAACCATTGAATGGCCCAAAACTGCCTTGTACAGAAGTAAACGGGATGCTGCATTAAGGGACAAGGGTTCATCTGTCCGATTAGTTTTTCATTCCCTATCAACAATCAGTTACTTTTGAAATAAAAGGAATTCGAAAAAAAACTGTATCTTCAACAGAAGTGATAATTTCGGAAATTTTTTTCAATTGCGCTAAAGGCTGTAACAAACATCGCTCATTGTTCTTCACATGCGATAGAACTCTTGACGGGAAAACGTTTCAGAGGAATCTCCAATGAAAACGTAATGACGTCGAAATACCGGATACATTTTTGCAACTCCGGAAAAAATTGATTTTGTAACAAGCTACTGTATCACACGATGAAACGACGAGAGTTGAAGATTTACTTTACTTACTGAAATAAAATAGCATGATTTCAGAAAAAAGCTAGAAAGTTGAAGACAATTCATTCAAGGGAAAAAATGAAGAACAATGATGCATACCATATGTACAGTACTTCCATCATGCACAATGACGTGAAAATTGACGAAAACGTTCGTCAATCCGGGTTTAAACTTATTCCCCCAACATACAGCAATGAGCCGCCGTACTTGCAATAACACCAAACAAAACAGTTGGAAAAACAGCACGAAATCCCAACAGTTGGAAAAATTGAACAGCACGAACAGTTGCACCCAACTCCGACAGTAGAAAAAAACTCCGCATTTGGCACAGACAAGGAACGCAAGGCGAACGAACAACCATCCAAGCACAATCACCGAAGCAAAGTACAAATGCTGCAATGCACACGAGAATGACGTGGAAATGGACAAGTAATCTCAACCACACTCAAACGCAACGACCGATTACCATGAGATTAAACACTACCAGTACTTACAGCAGCAGCTGCAGCAATGAATTCCAAAACTTGAAAAAAATCACAATTCGTCACAGAGCAGTAGAAGAACAGCACAGAGGCCATCGGAAAACCACCTTAGCGCAATCGAGAAGAGAAAATACTGTACGAATACGAGGGAAATGAATACGAAATATTTTCCACACTCGGGGATTCCTTAAACTCAAGTCATACTCAAATGTCTCAAAATATCACAAAAATATCGCTGTACCAACAGTACAGCAATCCATCATAAAAGTTAGAAAAGAACTCATAATTCGTCCTACAGACAAGCGCGAAACAGGAGGAGGAGGAACAAAGAACCACCCCATGCGCAATCATGAAGAGGATACAATAACATAGTATTACGAGAAATCTTAGCGCCATTACGGGATTCCTGAACTTCGGCCACACTGAAATATCACAAGAGATCACCAAAAGAACAAACAAAGCCACAAACCAACCACAGCACTGATTTCCGTAGGCTTGGAAAAACTCTTCCTCCGTCAGACACACGATCACGGCGGGAACAGAGAATGATCCAAAGCACAATCATCACGTGAAGGAAAATACTGCACTGCACACAGAACACTGTAATGACGAATGGAACCACCCCAACGACATCACGCAACAACCGATAACCACCAACAACTCCACTTTTTACCCGAAGCCCCATCACCACAGTTTTCTAAGCAACGGCGAACTTGTGACTGGCGGGGGATCACAAGCCGCTCTGCGCGTTTCCGGCCGCTGGCTGGCTTCAACAGGAACAGCCGAGTGCGCGCGTCATGACCTGAAACCGCCACCTTCTCACCTGTCCCTCTTTCAACTCTCCCTATCTCCCACCGAGACGCCAGCGCGTGGCACGGAAAAGCCATACTATGAACACGCTTCGCTGTGCGTGTGTGCATTCACCTGGTACAGGGGATCTCACTTGAACCCCTCTTTTTCAAGATTTTTCATTGTACTCATTTGATGATGTGGAAGAATTTGCACATGATCAAGTTTGCCAAATTCCACATGTAAATTTAAATTTTTGGTCACTGCGCAGCAATCTTGTTGATCAAGATGCAATACATATGCAGTACAGTACAGTATTCTAGTACAGTACATTATCTAGGAAACAAAGCAAAATGGCTCAAAGTGCCTTCAAGAAAACATACCCTCCTTGCCAATCTTGCCTTGCTCTGTTGACTGCCAAGTTGAAATTTCAACAACAAAAATATGATAAATGATGATGTAATTTTCTCAACCAACAACATTTACAATGCTCTATGGTTAGTTTTATTTAAGCCCAATGGAAGAGAGATTGAAAATGAATGGATGCAATACTTATAATTGGAATGAGTGCATATTCTTGGACCTGCCTGTAGGCTGAGTATGTAGCATAATCCCTGGAAGGATTGATCCTGTTTTACACAAAATAATTTAGATAAGAAAATTACATGGCTTGCGAAGATTCCACACATGCACTTCATCATTTGTGGAATTCTGCACCCAGAAGGGTTAGGAGAAAACTCTGGCATATTTGCAAACAATTACATTTACATAGGTACAAGTAAATATCTTGCACCTTCAAATTCCAGAGACTATTGCATGAAAAATATTAATTTAGGCTCATAATAAAGTTGAATTGGGTTACATTTAGTTTTTAATTGGGCACTCAGTTGAACCTTGATGACTAAATCATCCCAATGTGGCATTTTTTCCCCAAGTCCCTGTCTGGATTTCCTTAGAAAAAATGCACTAAAACCCTTTATAACTCAAAGGCTTCCCCAAGAAACCCCTAAACCTGGAATTTTCTGGGGACATGTGGGCTATCAAGTTTGTGTCCCAAAAAGACCAAATCAATGAAAATACAAACTGATGCTCTTTGAAAGGAATTGAACAAATAATTTAACATACTGTATAAACCCTTGCAACCAAATTCAGCATCATGTCAACTTCTTTACAAGGCAGTTTTGGGCTAAAGAAGATTGCACTAAATGCAACCTCTTTAAAAAAATTTTAATCATAGTTTAATCATGATTAAAATTGAAACGTCCAGAGGCAGAATTTTTGCTGGTCGCTTGGAATTTGAATTCTAAAAGTGCCACAGTAACAGTTGCAATGCTTCAGATAATAATAAGAATAATAATCATAATAATAATGACTCATACAGTACTCTGTAAAATTGAATTTTCATTTTGTTATGAATTAAAAACTTGCACTTTCAAAATTGTTGGTATTGAAAGAAAGCACTGAGAACTGAGGTTTATATTTTATGTAGAGATACATTTTCTGCTATATTTGGAGCTGAAAAAATAAAGGTTTGCATCTTATGCAAGGTAACATGGTACTTCTGAAATACGGCACTGTATTAAAATCCATGAAATTTTCGGAAAGCCCCGCGTTGTCCAATACTGTACCCAGATTCTCAAGGTAGAACACAGGGATTTTAGATTATTTGGACTTGTGATTGCGCCAGCATTACGAGTCCCTTGAATGCAAGGACAGGCCTGTGGGAAACGTTCCCGGGCGGTTACACAGCGTCCCTCACATGTAAGCACTTAGCACGTATACGAACCCAGGATTTCAAGCTCACTTACCTATTTTCATCCAACCAACGCCACTTTTACAACACTCCGCACCGAATGGAAAGAAATAACCGGAATCGTCACAGCAGCATCGCATGAACTTAGCGTTGAATTTAGCTCAAAAGTAGTACATTTTCCCCCAGGAGATGTCGTACTTCGACACTTATGGTTTTTTTTTACGATACAGTACTGTACAAAGGTCCTCCGGGGAGTTGCGCAAGCGCGCGGATCAAGTATATGCAGCAATATAGTAGTGTACAGCGCCTCAGTTAATAGACTTCATTCCACTGCAATCGGAAGCCCTCAAGGCAGAACGTCTGTCGATTTTTGCAAAATGACTGGTCAGACAGCAGCAGACCTTCGAAGAGTCGCTGCACGGAGTAATGCGAACCCATTCAGAATCACTAATTCGTTCCATCAAGTCTCAGAATGTGATTCTTTGAATGGACTGCTAAATGAGTCGGTACATTCTCGCGATATAATGAAAGTAAAAAGACTCACAAGCAAGAGAAGAAATGCAAAACACAGCCGAGAATTTCAAACGAGATCTCATCTACTTATTAAATTAAGAAAACTTCGGTTTCCTATACAAAGGATTGGTCCCATTTTCATCCAGTTTAGATTTTAAAAAACACCCGGGTACTTCATATTAGGCAAAAATCGGTGGCAGCCGGAATCCACTATGCGGGTTATCACTGCTGCTCTTTCAACACACACATTCGAGTTATTTTCCATCACAGTCAAGTTGCGAGCGATGCATGAGTGCTACGCGATACGAGATCCACCACAGGTCGGGGATTCCGCGCGGAAGAGCAAGAACAATAGCTCTTCACCAGCTAAAAGACCTTGAACTTCAGAAGAGATATTTCAACAAGAAACTAAAGTAGAAGCTGCGCGGACGAACCAAAAAATCTTATGTATGCGCGTATGAAACCTTGAGGAAAATCACGATAAAAAATAAACGAACACCTATATAAAAAACTATTTCGACATTGGGGAAATGGATCAAAGGTAACTCTTAGTTGTCTGGAGGAAGTGAACGTAGTCTGTGTTTTATTTATCCTTTCAGTATGGCTAGTATCAAAGATATTAAAATCGGATTACCTTTTTTTTGCCTGCGAGTCGCGCGCCGTAACCATCACGAAATCAATGCCAAATCAGTCTCGTATATCCATGAGATAAACTGAGCGGCATTTGCAGGGTTCAAATCATGGATATTCGTCGGACTAAAACTTCGCGAAAAATTCAAAGATTTTATTGATAGGAGATAATCCCAGAAGAGCCAGTTTTCGGTGTACACATCCACACACTTTCCAACATCGGTCCGCTTCCCGCGGGAGCAGGAAAGGGACTGAACGCCGACATTTGGCCTCACAGAACCAACGGTTCTCGCTGACGGAAAACATGGCTTCCTCCTTTAATATATACATCACAGCGCGGGATTCTTGAACATTTTCCCACGTTTTCCGGATATACTGTACAGTACTTCCGTTTTCACCTCTTCCGTCAATATACTTTTATCGCAGGCAAACTTTTCTGGCAAATACTTTCAACTTGAGGACGGAAGTTCCGTCCCTTCTGCTGAGGAAGGACCCATGTCCGATTAATCCCACTGCGACATCTACGTGGACCCACGTCAGATTAGACCCACGGCGACATCTCGGAGGACCCATGTCAGATTCATCCCACGGCGGCATCTAGGAGGGATCAAACATACTACTGAAATGTGCAGGATTGTCTATCTCTATAGAGTCTATACACCATACAGTACCCCAACACTGTCATACCCCAACAAAACTTCTGATGCAAACAAGTCTGATTTTCCTCCAACAGATGTCACCGACATCCGGATCTTATACAGTATTCTGTATACTGTACATGTATCGGAAAAGCAAATACTGTACAGTACTGTGTATATATAGAAAACCTTTATAGTGATCCCAATGCAAAACGAATTATCACATAAAAAATAGGTTTTATTCAAAAGGTCTGTGAGCGGCTCATGCTTCATTATAAAATACAATGTATCATTCAGCAAAAAAATCACTAAATATTCAAATAGATTTCAAGACACACAATATATAGATGCCACTGATCCCAAGTGTACAAATTATGAATTACAAATATGACAAAGGGGATCTGAAAATTGGGGTTCTGAAGTTGAAAACGGGTGATGGTGTGCTGCTGGGGTATCCATGATGATTGATTGGTGTCACATGAGAAGAATATTCCACTCTGTGCTCAATTGGTAGCTTTGCAGAAATATATTCGTCCAAATCCTCTGAATTTATGAGCACAGAGTCAATAAAGTGGACCACACCATTACTGCAGCCCAGGTCTCTTTCATCATATCCTTGGAGCATCCTTGCTTGGTTTATTTTAATTATCCCTGGAATGGAAGAATATGGAATATTAGGATCTCTATTGAAAAACTATGCTGTCATCCACAAAAAAAAATCTTGTAATCTTCTGAAAGATTACAGGTAGTTCAGGAAGACACACATATGTATGCAAATACAGTTATAAACTACTGTAGTGTGAAGTAGAACAGCTGGAGGTAAATTTTACTCAATTTCAAATGATACATTTTAGAAAACATCAGAATCTCACTTGGTGGTTTGACACTGGAGAATATCCTCAGGGCATCTCCAGCATAATTCATAAGTTTTTCAAACCTCTGCATGCCAATGGTGAACTTTGCTCCTCTCAAAATATGCCTTCCCATGATTTTTTTCAAAGTCGCATAATCTCCTTTCTCCTTCAACCTTTTGATGGAGAGCTCAGCATTTTTCCAGGCCTCAGCAGATGGCACCAGCAGAGTCATGATTTCTATAACAAGAAATTCAAACCAAATTGAATCTTTCAATTGTTGGAATATATAGACAGTGTAAAGTTTTTTTGAGTGTTACTTCAGGAAGTTTAACTGAAGCACACTCAAGAAATGATGCATCTATGACTTCTCAAACATTATATCAAAGCTTATTTAAAAGTTGTATTCTACAGGTAATACAACATATCATTAAATTTCAACAATTCAAAATACAGTACAGCATTCTATATGTTTTATATGCTGTATCAGAGGATGCACAAGTCATTTATACAATATCCTACCAAAATGAAATCATACTTCTTTCAGATTTTGAATTTCAAAACAGGTATAACATCCATTGCTTGTTTTTTTATGAACCACTAATATAATTGTACACATCATGAGTGAATCAGACTGAGGCCTCATTACTTTTTCAAAGAAAAAAAATCACATATGCATATATGAAGTATGTTGATTTTTCCTTGAATCAGAAACCAAGTTTTGAAGAAATTAACCTCAATGAATTTTAAAAAGAACCTCCACTTCAAGGAAATTTCAGTGCAACACATTTTCAGGACAAATTTAATTTTGAGTCCCACAGGTATGATGCTGATATATATATATTATGATTATATAATGAGATTTTAGTTGCAAAAAATGCTCTTTTTTTAATTGAATAATTTTAAGATCCACACAATATATATTGAATGTACAGTATATGTATGCATCAGACAGGATTTAATTTGAGTTTAATTTTAGAATTGTCTCATACATTAATACGGTTTTGCCAAAAAAAATTGATGCTTCAATGACAGCATAATGTCACAATATTGTGCACTATTACTTTTTGAGTCTACTGTATTTATGCATCCAACATTCTAAAATAAAGGGATCAAAGACAAAAAAATACATTTGAAGCAAATTTTGTACATGGTTTTTTTTTTTTACCAGCTTCATCCTCCAGACTTGGCAGCAGGCCTGTTTCCTTCAGGCTCTGAGAAAAGTTTTCCATGTAATCCCCATATCCCAGCTCATATTTCAAGAATTCAGCAATGGTGATGTTGTTGTTTCTATTAATGCAATTTCTGACAAAAAGTTGAAATATAAAGGTAATGTTGGTTTAATATTTTTTTTCTGGAACAAATTAACTTTTTTATAATGTAACCTTAAGGGAAATAGGGTTTCAACTTACGACGGCCCCATGTTATGACGTCAATCCTGGAACGGATTGATGACGTAAGATGGGGGCCCACTGTAGTGTGAAGTAGAACAGCTGAAGGCACATTTTACTCAATTTCAGATCATACATTTTAGAGAACATCAGAATCTCACTTGGTGGTTTGACACTGGAGAATATCCTCAGGGCATCTCCAGCATAATTCATCAGTTTTTCAAACCTCTGCATGCCAATGGTGAACTTTGCTCCTCTCAAAATATGCCTTCCCATGATTTTTTTCAAAGTCGCATAATCTCCTTTCTCCTTCAACCTTTTGATGGAGAGCTCAGCATTTTTCCAGGCCTCAGCAGATGGCACCAGCAGAGTCATGATTTCTACACAAAGAAATTCAGAATAAATTGAATATTTCAATTATTGGCATAGAGAGTTTACAATTCCTTTTTTCTAGTGTTGCTTCAGGAAGTTTAACTGAAGCACACTCAGGAAATGACGCATATGTGCTTTCTCAAAAATCCCCAAATCGTATTTAAAAGTTGTAATCTAATACAGGTAATAAAACATATCATTTAATTTCAAAAATTCAAAATACAGTATGGCGTTCTATATGTTCCAAACTGTATCAGAGGATGCACATGTCATTTATACAGTGTCCTACCAAAATAAAACCATACTTCTTTCAGATTTTGAATTTCAAAACATGTACCATCCATTGCTTTTTCATTATGAAACACCTATATCATTGTTAGAATTGTGAGTGATTCAGACCAATAGGCCTAATTTTTTTCAGAAAAAAATCACATATGCATAGGGGAAGTATGTTGATTTTTCCTAGCATCAAAAACCAAGTTTTAAAGATTAACCTCAATTCCTTTTTTTGTCAAATGTCCACTTCATAGGAAATCTCACTGCAACAAATTTTGAGAACAAATATGATTTTGAGTCCCACATAGTTTATGTTTGTAAAATGAGATTTTAGATGCACAAAATTCTCTTTTTTAAATTAAATAATTTCAAGATCCCCACAGTATATCTTGCATATACAGTATATGCATACATCAGATATAATTTAATTTTAGTTTAATTTTAGAATTGTCTCATGCATTAAGACTGTTTCCCCAGAAAATTGACGCTTCAATGACAGCATGATGTCACAATATTGTGCACTATAACTTTTTGAGTCTACTCTATTTATGCATCCAACATTCTAAAATGAAGGGATCAAAGACAAAAAAAATACATTTGAAGCAAATTTTGTACATGGTTTTTTTTTACCAGCTTCATCCTCCAGACTTGGCAGCAGGCCTGTTTCCTTCAGGCTCTGAGAAAAGTTTTCCATGTAATCCCCATATCCCAGCTCATATTTCAAGAATTCAGCAATGGTGATGTTGTTGTTCTGCATCAGTCCATCCACGTATTGGACAGTGCCGTGACCATGGATGTCAGCCGTCTCCACAATCGCTTTCCCATTCGCAGCCATCACCTATTATTTATTATACATAAATCCACGAATCCCGGCCCGAAATTGGTTTCTTTTCAATATAAAAAAAAATTAAAAATATACGTATGCACGATGATTACGTATTCAAAGTTCCAGTCCGCTCTTTCGACAGTGAGATTTTGCAGGAAAATTGTGCTTCGATCCAAGGTTTTCATCGTGGATTCGTGTTCATGACGGCGATAAAGAGAGTTCGTGACGAGATCAGATGTCGCACTCGCGATTATGCTCTTCAATAGAGATTCCTGAAACCCATTTTACAAAAAGAAGTTTTTTTTCATGACACTTTTCTTTCCTGCAGCATACCGTATATACGCGGAAAATATTTCAAATGCCATATATAGTTTTCTTTCAACCTTGATCCGCTCTGAGAAATATATAAACCTGGACTGACGTGCGTGAAACTTTGAGCGGAAATTTTTCGAGGTTTTCGCATAAAAAAGGCGTCACAAAAAGGAATTCGATTTTTTCGTGAAGTAGTTCAAAAGCGACCGTAATTAACAGAAAACAATTTCGGAAATCTGGAATTCGCCTTTCTGCATGGGAAGCAATCGCAAATTTCCTTGAAAGGCACTTTGAAAGAATATTCGTTCGATTAAAACGCGAGAAAAGCGTCAAAACAAAAACTACTGTATCCTCAAAACTACATAGAACTCCTTACTGAATTAATTATTATTAGTAATCATCTGAAATTTTACAGAGAAAAAACTCCGAATAATTGAGATCTAGCTTATCTCTTGAGTTCAACAACCGATCAGGCTTTTTTCATTATTATAAAGAGATGTCGCTCGAGACTCAGTTGGAACGCTCAAGAAGTACTCAAGCGACATCTAGTTATTCTAGTAGAATTGATTTCGCGGAGGGAAACATGAAATTTAAGCATGAAGCGCCAAAACCGTTCCCCGCTTGGAATCCAACCCATCCAAATAATATTTTCAGTCTCCTTTTAGATTGAAATGTTTTATTTTTGAAAATCTTACCTCATTAAAGATGGATCCTTGCATGTTGGCGAGTTTTCTTTCCATTTCCTCTCGATTTGGAACAAACATCCAGAGATGATCCCCTGAAATGAGGAGATAATTTCAGAATTTAAAAGAAAAAAATATTTCCGAATCTAAATTTGCTTGCCGCAATTTTCGGAAAATATGTAAGTCTTGAAAGAGTCTTCAAGTTATATTGGCGCATGTAAATACTCTATTTTAGGTTTGTGGATGAATAAATGAAGCGAAAAATTCCCTTCACGGCCAAAGTAGGCAAAAGAAAATCATGAATGAGCCAATGCTTCATACATATACAAAAATATATATAAACAGATGAACCTCTATAAGTCAAACCTCCCCAAGTCAAATATCTCACCCTTAACTAAAATTTTTCTCAAGTCCCCATCTGAACTTTTTGGGGCCCCATTTCCTTGAAACACAAAACAGAAAATCAATTAAATAAATTATTTTGTGCATCTTGAAAGGAAGTGAAAGACTANGGTATAACATCCATTGCTTGTTTTTTTATGAACCACTAATATAATTGTACACATCATGAGTGAATCAGACTGAGGCCTCATTACTTTTTCAAAGAAAAAAAATCACATATGCATATATGAAGTATGTTGATTTTTCCTTGAATCAGAAACCAAGTTTTGAAGAAATTAACCTCAATGAATTTTAAAAAGAACCTCCACTTCAAGGAAATTTCAGTGCAACACATTTTCAGGACAAATTTAATTTTGAGTCCCACAGGTATGATGCTGATATATATATATTATGATTATATAATGAGATTTTAGTTGCAAAAAATGCTCTTTTTTTAATTGAATAATTTTAAGATCCACACAATATATATTGAATGTACAGTATATGTATGCATCAGACAGGATTTAATTTGAGTTTAATTTTAGAATTGTCTCATACATTAATACGGTTTTGCCAAAAAAAATTGATGCTTCAATGACAGCATAATGTCACAATATTGTGCACTATTACTTTTTGAGTCTACTGTATTTATGCATCCAACATTCTAAAATAAAGGGATCAAAGACAAAAAAATACATTTGAAGCAAATTTTGTACATGGTTTTTTTTTTTTACCAGCTTCATCCTCCAGACTTGGCAGCAGGCCTGTTTCCTTCAGGCTCTGAGAAAAGTTTTCCATGTAATCCCCATATCCCAGCTCATATTTCAAGAATTCAGCAATGGTGATGTTGTTGTTCTGCATCAGTCCATCCACGTATTGGACAGTGCCGTGACCATGGATGTCAGCCGTCTCCACAATCGCTTTCCCATTCGCAGCCATCACCTATTATTTATTATACATAAATCCACGAATCCCGGCCCGAAATTGGTTTCTTTTCAATATAAAAAAAATTAAAAATATACGTATGCACGATGATTACGTATTCAAAGTTCCAGTCCGCTCTTTCGACAGTGAGATTTTGCAGGAAAATTGTGCTTCGATCCAAGGTTTTCATTGTGGATTCGTGTTCATGACGGCGATAAAGAGAGTTCGTGACGAGGTCAGATGTCGCACTCGCGATTATGCTCTTCAAAAGAGATTCCTGAAACCCATTTTACAAAAAGAAGTTTCTTTTTCATGACACTTTTCTTTCCTGCAGCATACCGTATATACGCGGAAAATATTTCAAATGCCATATATAGTTTTCTTTCAACCTTGATCCGCTCTGCGAAATATATAAACCTTGACTGACGTGAAACTTATTCAAGCGGAAATTTTTCGAGGTTTTCGCATAAAAAAGGCGTCACAAAAATTCTTCAATTTTTTCGTGTGAAGTAGTTCGAAAGCGACCGCAATTAACAGAAAACAATTTCGGAAATCTGGAATTCGCCATTCTGCATGAGAAACAATCGCAAATTTCCTTGAAAGGCACATAAAAAGAATATTCGTTCGATTAAAACGCGAAAAAAACGTCAATAAAAAAACTATACTCAAAACGGAAAAGAACTCTTTACTGCATGAATTAATATTAGTAATCATCTGAAATTTTACAGAGAAAAAACTCCGAATAATTGAAATCTGGCTTATCTTAAGTTCAACAACCGATCAGGCTTTTTTCATTATTATAAACAGATGTCGCTCGAGACTCGGTTGGAACACTCAATATAGTACTCATGCGACATCTAGTAGAATTGATTTCGCAGAGGGAAAGATGAAATTTAAGGGCGAAGCGCCAAAACCGTTCCCCGATTGAAATCTAACCCATCTAAATAATATTTTCAGTCTTCTTTTGGATTGAAATGTATTATTTTAGAAAATATTACCTCGTTAAAGATGGATCCGTGCATGTTGGCGAGTTTTCTTTCCATTTCCTCTCGATTTGGAACAAACATCCAGAGATGATCCCCTGAAATGAGGAGATAATTTCAGAATTTAGAAAAAACAAAACTTTTCCGAATCTAAATTTGCTTGCCGCAATTTGCGGAAAATATTTAAGTCTTGAAAGAGTCTTCAAGTTATATTGGCGCACATGAGTACTCAATTTTACGTTTGTGGATGTTTACTTCGCTTTTTAAGGGAAGTGCCGGTTTCATCCGTTTTCTTTTAGTACTTACTCGGTTACGAAGTATGTATATGTTTTTATATATATTTGTCTACTTGGAGATATTCAGTTTGGAGGGGTTCACAAATATCTCACCCTTAACTAAAATTTTTCTCAAGTCCCCATCTGAACTTTTTGGGGCCCCATTTCCTTGAAACACAAAACAGAAAATCAATTAAATAAATTATTTTGTGCATCTTGAAAGGAAGTGAAAGACTAATTACGCAAATTAACCCCTGTATACAAGTTCAGCTAGCTTTAAACTCATTTAAGAAGCAAGTTTAGGCCCAGAATATCCTCATTAACAATTTCCTGCATTTTTTTTAATTGTAGGAGTAGCGTCGTCTTTTCTAAACAAAGGGATAAGTTTTGGAGCGGGATTCAGCTTAAAAAAAGGACCAGGGGTTTTTAAGTATTTTTTCTCTCCAAGTTGACATATGACATACTATGTCATACTATGTATTTACTGACCTGGTGGAACATATCCTCTGAGTAAGTAGGGCAATCGAGTCTCAATCAAGTCGGGCAGAAGCCGGAAATGTTTCCGCCTCAGCTCCTCCGCGAACACGGATGCGAATCGTCGAGCGGAAACATCGTCCAAAGACACCAGCCTTGTGTTGCTTGCTGCTGCTGCTGCTGATTTCCCTGATAATGGCGTAAACAAAATCCCTGCTGTTGTTGTTGATGTTGATGTTGTGGGGAAATGTTGATGATGTAACGGTAAATGTTTGTGAATAAGGCTGCTGCCGATAATGCGCTGATGAGGAGGAGGAGTCACGATGAGGTCGTGCTGAAGACGTGAGCCAGGAAAGGCTTTTTTGTTCGTCGTGTGGAGAGAATACATGCAAACGAATAATTTTCAATTCGAATCAATCAAAGAATATTTCAAAAATGTTTTCTTTTCTTCTCGATGATTTGTTCATCCTCGTGAAAATATCGGCTTTCCAAAAAAAAATTTCTGAAGTACAGTACATGCAAAAGTTTGAGTTCGAGTGGACGAGTCTTTCCTCTAGAAATAATTCCGAACACTGTCTTAAATCTTTAAACTTGATGTACAAAATGTAAAATCAAGAAAAATTAAATTTATTGGTACGGTATTTCATTTAATTCTCCTCTTTCTTCAATCTTTAAACTTGATGTACAGCATTTAAATTCCATCCAAATTTATATTTATTGGTATTATTTCTCCGCAATTTCACCTAATTTAGGTACAGTTTATTCATCTCGCATTTTTGCTGTTCAATTTAACATTGATTCAAGACTGAAATTAAACTTATGAATACAGTACAGCAGTACTGTGATCTTGTTTGTTTTTCCCATTGAATAAAAAGTTTTGGTCGTTGATATGAGACACAACCGTCTCACGCAGAGATATTTCGAAAATGAATTTCGTTTTTAAAAATCCTGTTTTATGTCTTACTTAGGGACACATTACACAAATACTAGAATCCTACCTCGAAAATTCAAAAGCCTTCCAAACTAAAATTTCCCAGGAATCCCTGGCCAATTTTCTTAAATATACAGTATTTAACGCAAAATTATTTGGCACTACAGTTATCAGTCAAAATTCCCTTAGCCCTCAAAGTGGGGCTACATTTTATAACAAATGACCCAGAACAATTTTCAATTTTATTGCTTTCTACCAGGAATTGGGAAAATTCCTGCTTGCGCAAGAATACCATAAAATAATTTCCATTGATTAACAAACACAAATCATGCCACATTTTCTTACTTGAGAACTATGTAAAAAAGTAGTATTTCTCAGGAGTCCCTCAGAATTTTGCACAGAGATGTTGAATTTTAAATAATGTTTATTTGTGTGCTTTAATGGCAGTTGAAACTATCTCATGAAAAAATGAAAGTTTGCTTTTCTCTTAATAACACTTCAGACAAATTTTCATTTGCTGAAATAAACTATTTTAATTTTTCATTCCGAGAAACCTTTCTTCAAGCCNGAAATCTGGAATTCGCCTTTCTGCATGGGAAGCAATCGCAAATTTCCTTGAAAGGCACTTTGAAAGAATATTCGTTCGATTAAAACGCGAGAAAAGCGTCAAAACAAAAACTACTGTATCCTCAAAACTACATAGAACTCCTTACTGAATTAATTATTATTAGTAATCATCTGAAATTTTACAGAGAAAAAACTCCGAATAATTGAGATCTAGCTTATCTCTTGAGTTCAACAACCGATCAGGCTTTTTTCATTATTATAAAGAGATGTCGCTCGAGACTCAGTTGGAACGCTCAAGAAGTACTCAAGCGACATCTAGTTATTCTAGTAGAATTGATTTCGCGGAGGGAAACATGAAATTTAAGCATGAAGCGCCAAAACCGTTCCCCGCTTGGAATCCAACCCATCCAAATAATATTTTCAGTCTCCTTTTAGATTGAAATGTTTTATTTTTGAAAATCTTACCTCATTAAAGATGGATCCTTGCATGTTGGCGAGTTTTCTTTCCATTTCCTCTCGATTTGGAACAAACATCCAGAGATGATCCCCTGAAATGAGGAGATAATTTCAGAATTTAAAAGAAAAAAATATTTCCGAATCTAAATTTGCTTGCCGCAATTTTCGGAAAATATGTAAGTCTTGAAAGAGTCTTCAAGTTATATTGGCGCATGTAAATACTCTATTTTAGGTTTGTGGATGAATAAATGAAGCGAAAAATTCCCTTCACGGCCAAAGTAGGCAAAAGAAAATCATGAATGAGCCAATGCTTCATACATATACAAAAATATATATAAACAGATGAACCTCTATAAGTCAAACCTCCCCAAGTCAAATATCTCACCCTTAACTAAAATTTTTCTCAAGTCCCCATCTGAACTTTTTGGGGCCCCATTTCCTTGAAACACAAAACAGAAAATCAATTAAATAAATTATTTTGTGCATCTTGAAAGGAAGTGAAAGACTAATTACGCAAATTAACCCCTGTATACAAGTTCAGCTAGCTTTAAACTCATTAAGAAGCAAGTTTAGGCCCAGAATATCCTCATTAACAATTTCCTGCATTTTTTTTTAATTCATCCTCATCGCAGCAGAAAAGATTTGTTTCCCTATTCAAAACCTCGCCCTAAGTCGAATTTTTTTCCTGGTCCCCAAAAATTCATAAAAAAGAGAGGTTCAACTGTATACTGTATGATACAGTATGCATTTACTGACCTGGTGGAACATATCCTCTGAGTAAGTAGGGCAATCGAGTCTCAATCAAGTCGGGCAGAAGCCGGAAATGTTTCCGCCTCAGCTCCTCCGCGAACACGGATGCGAATCGTCGTGCGGAAACATCGTCCAAAGACACCAGCCTTGTGTTGCTTGCTGCTGCTGCTGCTGCTGCTGATTTCCCTGATAATGGCGTAAACAAAAGCCCTGCTGTTGTTGTTGATGTTGATGTTGTGGGGAAATGTTGATGATGTAAGGGTAAATGTTTGTGAATAAGGCTGCTGCCGATAATGCGCTGATGAGGAGGAGGAGTCACGATGAGGTCGTGCTGAAGACGTGAGCCAGGAAAGGCTTTTTTGTTTGTCGTGTGGAGAGAATATATGCAAACGAATAATTTTCAATTCGATTCAATAGAAGAATATTTCAAAATGTTTTTCTTTTCTTCCCGATGATTTGTTCATCGTAATGAAAATACTGTACCGGCTTTCCAAAAAAAATTCTGAAGTACAGTACATGCAACACTTTGAGTTCGAGTGGACGAGTCTTTCCTCTAGAAATAATTCCGAACACTGTCTTAAATCTTTAAACTTGATGTACAAAATTTAAAATCAAGAAAAATTAAATTTATTGGTACGGTATTTCATTTAATTCTCCTCTTTCTTCAATCTTTAAACTTGATGTACAGCATTTAAATTCCATCCAAATTTATATTTATTGGTATTTCATTTATTTCTCCTCAATTTCACCTAATTTATAGGTACAGCTTATTCATCTCGCATTTTTGCAGTTCAATTTAACATTGATTCAAGACTGAAATTAAACTTATGAATACAGTACAGTACTGTGATCTTTTTTGTTTTTCCCATTGAATAAAAAGTTTTGGTCGTTGATATGAGACACAACCGTCTCACGCAGAGATATTTTAAAAATGAATTTCCTTTTTAAAAATCCTTTTTTTGCGTCTTACTTGGGGACACATTACACAAATACTACAATCCTACCTCGAAAATTCAAAAGCCTTCCAAACTAAAATTTCCCGGGAATCCCTGGCCAATTTTCTTAAATATACAGTATTTAACGCAAAATTATTTGGCACTACACTTATCAGTCAAAATTCCCTTTGCCTTAGAGTTCTTGAAGTGGGGCTAATACATTTTATAACAAATGACCCAGAACAATTCTCAATTTTATTGCTTTCTACCAGGAATTGGGAAAATTCCTTCTTGAGCAAGAATACCAGAAAATAATTTCAATTGATTAACAAACACAAATCATGCCACATTCTCTCCCATGAAAACTATGTAAAAAAGTAGTATTTCTCAGGAGTCCCTCAGAATTTTGCACAGAGATGTTGAATTTTAAATACTGTTTATTTGTGTGCTTTGATGGCAGTTGAAACTATCTCATGAAAAAATGAAAGTTTGCTTTTCTCTTAATAACACTTCAGACAAATTTTCATTTGCTGAAATAAACTATTTTAATTTTTCATTCCGAGAAACCTTTCTTCAAGCCCACTTTTCTAATTTTTAAATGAAATTCAGCCTATAGTTGTCTCATTGGTGCTCAACTTAATTTTTGCAACAAAAAAGCAGACACTTTTAAATACTGAACATGCCAAAAAGTTTTTCAAAAAACATTTTTGAGTTTGCAAAAATGTTATGAAAACTTGCCAGTCTGCAGACAATTTCAGGGAAAATTTGCCAGTCCACAAATAAATGTATGGAAATTTGCTGGTCCATGGGCCCAAAAGGATTGGGCAACACCGTTTCAGAGTATTTAGACACAGTATTTCTTGGGACAAAGTACAGATTGTCAGAGAAAAGGTTTTAACGTCTGCAGTGGGAGGAATGACCAGTAGGATCCTACAGGGGTCTGGGGGGAATAATAAGGATGTCCTGTAACGTGTGTCTGTGGCCTTTTGCACCTTGAATTAATTTGCCTACTTTGGGGGGGGGGGGGGGGGGGGGGAATAATAAGGACGTTGTGTAATGTGTGTCTGTGGCCTTTTGCACCTTGAATTAATTTGCCTACTTGAAAACGCATCAATTAACATTAAGTTGTCAGGATGGCCGAGCAGTCTAAGGCGCTGCATTCAGGTCACAGTGTGGTTCTGCAGGCGTGGGTTCGAATCCCACTTCTGCTATCGTTTTTTTTCATTTTTTTTTGTCCGCACTGCAGATGCTCTACTACTTGATAGCCTCCTGATGCAATTCGGGTGGAAAATACTTTCACATGTTATGAGACTGAGAAAACATTTATTTTGATGATGAAACCTGAGTTACCTGTGGTAGACCTGATGGGATAATAATTTTCCCGGAAAAGTGTGCTGCTGGGTAATGAGGCTGGGGTTGATGAATGAAGCGGCCGGTTATGGTCCAGTCCATGAGTTTTGATGGCCACAGGAACAATGGGCACTATTCGGTAGTTGGGAGAGTGATTTGGAGTTGGCGAGGATTTCTGCACCAGGAATGAGTTTCCAATGGGCCTGTTTTGAAATAATAATTAACACACTTTTGTTCTAAGGGAAACTATGTTTGGAAAAGATTGCAATACAAAGGGGCCTTGGCTGACAAACTTAATTGGTTCCAGAACAAATTTTGTTAGCTCAATAGTTTGTAAGCCAAATCACATTTTCCCTTAATGAAGTGAAGGAATAATTGTGATTGGTTCCAGAACCTTGAAAATGCCCTTGAAATTCAAGAAGATCCATCTTGAGAAAATATTTTCAGGCCTAAAGTCCATTAAATCTTCCCAAGACAGTATAACAGAAACTCACTGCAGTAAAAAATTCATAGAATGGAACTTTTGAAGTGAGTTTCTCCAGAGGTTTCTTCTTGAAAATTCTAAATGCAACACCACAAACCTATTCACTGACCAAGGACTAAAGATGGAAGATTTTAATGCTAAAAAGCCGTTGACTTTTAACCAAATTAGAATGAATAAAAAAATTGGTGATCAAGAATTGGTCACTTGTTTAAACATGAATTTTTGGAGTTTGCTAAAGAAATTTTTTTTATACCCATGAGCATTTGGAGAACTCAAAAGTTTTTAAGCTGAGTCATGGTTTGTTAGCCAAAGCAGCTGAGGCCAAAAACAAAAATTTGTCAGCCATGGTGTTTGTTAGCCAAAGACCCCACTCTATATTGGTCATGGGTCTTAAGCATTGCAGAGGTAAGAAATATTTGTGAAAAATCATATATCCTTTTTCAAAACATATAATAAACTATGCTGACAACAGTCTACATCACAGATACCATTTTCACTACAGAAAAAAAATTTAATTTGAAAAAGCCGCTCAATATAAGTCTTCAAGTCACACACTCTTAAATCAGAACAATTTTTTTTTCAGCATGATCAACACTATTCTTGTATTGTGAAGAAACTTATTGATAGCTTGTGGTCATCAAAAAAAGAAAATAAATTTGGGATAACACGGTTTTCTTTCTCTACTGTATAGCTGACATTTTAACATGTTGTGATTACTTTGCATTCAAATCTATTTTAACAGTCATCCAAAATGTAGAAATTAAAAAAATCCGACATACAAATTATTGGAATCAGTCAAAAACCAAATTTGATGATACAGGATGCAGGAATTCAGCTGCAGCAAGTAAGTCACAGAAATTAAAAATATGAAGCTTACTCAATTTCTACCATGAATTCACTTAAAATCAACAATAAAACAATTACAGAAAGCTGCAATGAGGTTCAGAAGATATTTCTCCTAACAAGAAGAAAAAAGCGCAGTTGTCTACAACAAAATTTATTCAGTGAAAATCTGAAATTCAATTTTTAAAATTCTCAGAATAGAGAAAACAAAAATTGATGCTCCAGAAAATCAAATAATACTGATCCAAATACGTTACAATGAACTTCAATGCTCAAAATAAGTTCAGCAATAAATAATCAAACATGAGCTCCCAATAAGTCTTAGTTGTGTAGTACAGTGCATGACTCAGACAAAGTGGCAGTCAGCTGCAGAAAGGAAGTTACAGTACAGTGATTACAAAACTACAGTATATTTTTGCTGCCTTAATTAAAACCGCAAAAATATTACACACTATTTTTCAAGAAAATTATGGCTAGCAGAACTATTTTTAATACATGTTGGGAAATGGAAAGAATTTAAATTGCAACTGGGTTCACATGGACTCACTTGTATTCAGACCGGTAACTTGATTTATGCTGGCTTCCTTCAACATTATTGTCTCCCACAGCAAATCCATTGTTCACACTGACAACTTTGTTGCTGGGCAATCCTTCATGATTGAACAATAATCTCGGATTACTGTTCTTGAGGTAACTTGACCCAATGATCAACTGTGGCTTCAGCAGCTCACTTCTGCTTCAAGCAAATGAATGAAAACAAACCCAAAAATGACAGAGTTTTGAAAAAAAATGATAAAGCGTTTTCACTCACATGATGGACCCACCAGTGATCAAATCCTCTCCATAAACCTTTTTTGAATTTTCATCATGATGACGTTTGGCTCTTTGAGGAATTTCTGTGTCATTTTCTGAACCCAACTCTGGCAAAGGTGAGGTAACTAAAACTGACTTCAAAGCCTCAGTTTCCAACTGAAAAAACCAAAATGTTGCCATGGATCATGCAATACATGCTTTTTTCCTGCATTCAAAAATCAAACAAGCTCAGAAGACTAGATATTTATTCAACAAACAACTTTTTTTGCAAAGGACTGGTGATATACAAAAAAGATAAAAACTAAATTATATCTTGATTGAGATGAATTGGCTGGTTATTTTCAGCATGTGAATACTGCCTTCATAAAGCTTTCTATTTCCCCCAAATTATTAAAATTGTTGTTATTCACAGTCCATCAAGTCTGTTTGAAGCAGTCACACCATCATCCTGGTCAGTGTAGACATAGTCAGGATATTGCTGCAAATTGCCCTGCTGAAAAGCAGCCTGTGCAGACTTTGATCCTGCCAAGTCCACATAATAAACATCTCCATCTTTCTCAACGGTTCTTGTTGATCCAGGGATAATGGAAAGCTGGTTGTCAGGGGTGGGTAAAGGTTGCTGGAACAATTGAGGGAACTTGACCACTGATGGTATGGCTGAGAGATTATAGGTTCTGGCAATTTTCACAGACATCTTTTCAGAGGGCAGATTCAAGTTGGTGCCCCAGAGTTTTAAAAGACTGCTGTCAGGATGGAAAGTTGTTGGCTGATGGTATGTGCCACTTATTTCTACACTAGAAAGGCCTTTGACATCTCCATCAGACTGCTGCATGTCAAAGGAATTCAACATGGTTTTCATATCTTGGTCCAATGAACTTTGCATGGTTGAGCTGTTGCTGGAAGATTCTTTGGTCATCTGTATTTTGGTTGAATTTCCTGCTGTAGTTGTCCCTGGTGTTGTTGAAGTTGTGCTGGATCCTCCAGAATTTGTTGTTGGTGATATTGTTGTAGAAGGTGAACTGCTTGCTGGTGTAGCTTTTGTTGTTGATACTATTGTTGTTTGAGGTGGTTCAATCTGGGAACCTGAAATAATTCAATGCTCAATTTGAAAGACTCAAAAAATTTCCAGTGAAAGATGTCTTGAAAAACTGTTAGCAGTAAAATAAAATTTGAAATTTAAATATTTCTGCCATATTCCTTTCTTTTGCATCTTCAGATCCATGTCCAACTAATCATGCAGCTTTTAAAAATGATAATACAGTAGCTCTTTAAGATCAGAAATAACATCTCAGCCAAATAAGTAAAATAGTTCCCTGATGAAATATTGTGTCACAAAAATTTTTTTTATTCCATGCATGGTTTTTAATTTGTATTTGCTGCTGGATAAGGGAAGATTAAATACCAGACATATAAGAATATTCCAAGTTCAATTTATGCCATGGTTAAGATTTTGGAAGACCTTTTCAGTTTGAGGAACAACATTCACTGTACTGTAGTTTTATTTAGCTATAAGAGATTTTTGGGCTTCATTGTATAGTCTCTAAACAAGACTTACCAATCTCATCCCCAGATTATTTATAATTTATTTTTGTTTAGATACATTAAGCATCAGCATAATGAGGATGATTAAAGCTTACCCTGTTGTTGAGATGAGCAATTTACCAATTGCAACATTTTGTCCAATACCATTCCCAAGGCAGAAGAGGGAACAGCTTTCAGGATTGGAACCACTGTCTGAAGCCGATTATCCATTCCCTGATTTCCAGCATCAAAGGGTGGAAAGCTTACATAACTTTCATTTCCAGAGCTTATCATAAGTGGTCTGCTCAGTGGTGGAGATGGAATTGGTACAACTGGGGAACTTGTATCTGGGGATGTAGAAGTTGTACTGCTCCTCCTGTTTGCCCCATATCCTCCAATCAGCTGAGGTCCAAGCTGGGCATAAGATGGCAAGAGACCTCCACTTCCATATCCAGACCCAGATGAACTAGATCCAGCTCCAGATGAGCTTGGGGAGTGTTTGTACACATGTACAACAGGCACATGGCCATATCCAAACCTCACTTTCTTCTTTTTTGTAGTAGTTGTTGTGGTGGTAGTGGTGGTTGGCCTAGGGGTAGTGGTGGTTGTAGTTGTGGTAGTGGTTGTGGTTTTTGGTTTAATATGTTTAATTAAGATCAAGGGTTGTTGGTAACCATATCCACCACTGCTGCTGGATGCTCCATTTCCACTGGAAGTTGATGAGGATGGCAACCCATATCCATATCCCAAAGGTAAATACCGTCTTTTCTTCTTTTTATTAGTTGTAGTTGTGGTAGTTGTGGCAGTGGTGGTGGGTCTTGGAGTGGTAGTAGTAGTAGTGGTGGTGGTAGTTGTAGCTTTCTTTGCATAACCCCCAGAGCTTGAAGAGGAAGAAGAGCTGCCAGGATAAGCATGTGGATGATAGGCTAGAGGAAATGCATAAGGCCTAAACCTCTTCTTCTTCTTAGCCTTGGTGGTTGTTGTGGTGGTGGTAGTGGTTGTTGGCCTTGGGGTAGTGGTTGTTGGCCTTGGGGTGGTGGTAGTGGTAGTAGTCTTCTTTGGCCTGTAATAAACTGGAGCAGGATAGTAAGCAAAAACACGCTTTCCCTTCTTCTTTGTTGTGGTGGTTGTGGTAGTAGTAGTAGTAGTAGGTCTTGGGGTTGTGGTTGTTGTTGTTGTTGTGGTAGTAGTAGCCTTCTTGTGGTATCCAGAGGAAGAAGAAGAAGATGATGATGGATACCCACCATGGAATGGAATCCCTGGGAAATACTGAGGGACTCTCCGGTACCTTTTGGCCTTCTTTGTGGTTGTGGTAGTAGTTGTAGTGGTAGTTGGCCTAGGTGTGGTGGTGGTTGCAGCAGTGGTGGTTGCCTTCACATGTGTTGGCTTAGGGGTAGTCCTGTCCTTGAACTTTTCAAAACTTTGTGCTGCCTTTGACAGGAAATTTGAAATCCCTTTCCTGTACCGGTATTGGACATAGCCAAGGGTTTGGGCCTTGTTGGCTGGCACTTTCCCATGGTAGCCATGATGATGACCATGGTGTCCCTTTGGAACTTGTCCATAGTAGTAGTGATGATGATGGTTCCCACCATCCCTGTGCTCTCTGGCCTCCAGCATTTTTTCAATTTTTTTCAACTTTTTCTTGAACTTGATGTCCATGAAGAGTCTGTCCTGTGCTCTGGATGGTACATGGCTCATTCTTCTCAGAAATACAGAAGGACTGAGTTGTTCATCAGGGATTACAGAAATGTGGTTCTCTGTCAAGTCATTTGTTAGTGGAGTCACTTTTAGGGTCCCAAATCCACTTCTTTTCTGGTCTAAGGGTTTGGTCAGGGTTTTGTCCAGGTTTGTTTCAGGTGGGGAAGCAGTCAGTCTTTTTTGTGTCCAGTCCTGGAGAAATGAATTACAGTCCAAGACTTTTATTCAGAAATTGATCTTACAAAAAAAATAGCTAAAATACATTTAAATTCATCTCCCTGACATGCTTTGAAATACAGTAAAGGCTAAAATCGACTCACTTTCAAGTTTTCTGGAACTGTTGTGTTTTCACGCAAATCGTCACCAGGAAACAATTTTGAAACCAGGACCACTGATTCGTTTGACAAAGGTTGAGAGACTTCCAAACTTGAAACAATGCCTTCAACGACATTCCAGCCGATTTTAACACAAAATATTAGTCCAAAACTCAAGATGATCCGATACGCATGCATATTCAAGAGTCTTTCCTTCATAGCTTCTTCTTTTTCTGCGGAGATGAAAGGTGAGGTGATTGTTTTTTCACAGAGTCACAATGAACTCGTAGCATGAAAACAGAAGAAACTGTCACGAAAAGTAATTTTTGAATCGCTGAAAATTTTTGCTTCTTTCCTCAAAACCGAGGAGTTTAAAATCAAAAATTTTTTAGAACAATTATTTAAACAACGGGCTTAAAGATTAATTTTGGTGAGATGCTTTCAAGTTGTCAGACATGCAAAACACATTTTTAAAATCTACATTTTTTTCTTATGAAAACGAAATCAGAATGAGATTTAAAGATTTTTCAAATCAAGATGACACGCAAGAAATGGCTCCTCGTGGTTTGTTCATGTCTCAACAAAACCCAAATGCGGAAAAAATGTAATTCACGCAAAATTTGTACCACATTGTCACAGGTTGGTAATCCTAAATTTTCTTTGAGAATATTTTTGTAAAAATTCTCAATTGTTCGAAAATGCTGCGCAATTTCTTTAACGAAAATTCAAAATTGTTCTCCCATAAACAAAATACAACATAAATGAGCACCAAATTCGGACGTTGTAAAAAAATCACAAGAAAGTAAATTCGAATTTTTATTGGGAATTGTTCGAGCCCATATACTGACAACGAAATAGTTCTTTTTTAAACACAATTTCTCTCGAGAAATATTGGTGAAAAAAATGTGATGAATCTTTTTGAAAAATCCGAAGGATTGAAACTCGCGGCACAGAGGAATTCGAAAAGTTGAGATCGAAATTGTTGATCAAACATTTTTTTGGGGACTGGAATATATTCTAATTGCTTAGTCTTATCCGAGAAAAAAAAAACTGATCAGATTTAAATAATTAGAGTAATTACAAAGTAAAGCATGATCCTTTAATTTTTAATATTCAGTAAAAACGGAAAAAACTCTTATTTTCTATTGCCGAGAATACGTCAATTTTGAATAAGGTGAAAATGAAAGGTTTTTTCTTCATCAGACGAGAGAATTCAGCTGAACTTGAAAATGAAAACACCAAAAAATATTCACGAATTTTAGATTGTGAAGATTTCTTCGGTTGCAGCGGAAATTTCTAGCGTTTTGGAAATTTAATCACTGAAATTCGAAGCACCTCAATACTTCGTCAATGAAGATGTCAAAATGTTTTGAAAAGGGGTAAAATGTTGGAAGCAAAACTTTCCACTTTTTTCCCCCTCAAGAGATGACTTCACCACTGACTTCAAGGAAGCCACTGTGAGCTCGACAGCTCGACACTGCACAAAGTCGACATTTGCTCAAGACCTGACCCAAATTCACCTACACCATTTCCCCACGCTGGACGTGATTAAAAATTACAATAAAATTAGAAGAAGAAAAAAAAACGAAGCGAGGTCATCATAGTCTTCATCCTCAGTCACTCTGAACAATGAGGTCTGATAAGATGTCTGATGAGGCAACTTGGATCTCACTTCTTTTTTTTTTTAATTCACTTTCAGTGAACTGAAGGCAACTTTTTTTGCTGCCTTGAAACGCAGAGCTTTATTATATAGAGGAGTCTTTTCTCTTTCACAGGCATTTTTATGAGGGATATCTCAAAAATTGTTTCAATCCTACAAGCGATTGTATTTTTTATGGACATGAAACCTGGTGGTCCTTTTTAATCTTTTCTTCAAAGAAAAAATTCCACCTGATGGAAAGTAGTTGATAAAATTATTTGAGGAACTTCTAATATTCACTTGTACATGAGGTGCATTTTTGAAGGAAACAATTTCTAATGCTTCTGATTTTTTCAGAATCCCCCCCAACTTTACTGCTGTTATATATATGTTTTCATTTGCACTTACATCCCCTGGAATTTAATGAATTATATTTTTGTTGATTTTCTATCCCTGACACAAAATGTTTACCCAAAAGTGTGGACCACTTCATTCCCAGCATTTAGAATATTCAAAAATTTGTTGCTGAGTAGTTCTAAAGATTATGGTGACTGACATCAGCATATTCATGAAATAATAAATAAATAACATGAAATTCTCCCTTCACACAAAACTAAATTTCAAATTAATTTGCTTCTCATATAATTTTTCTTTTGGACTGAATTTAATGCTGTTTCTTTGAAGAGCAGTTTTAAATCTCATCCACTCAAAATTATGATTCATGGGGGAGGCTTTTCCAAAACTTTTGAAGCACCCCAACCCCTCCTATAATAATTGTCTCGCCTTCCAATGTGAGTTTTCTGAACAGTATAATGTATGAGAGTTTATTCATGGGACCCGTGAGAAAGTCAAGTCACTGTCAAATACTCTAATTTCTTGGCAGGTATAAAAAAAAACTAACGTATTTCTCAATGGGTGACTATGAAGTGTATTTCAGAAGGATTATACTGAAAGCTCAGCATCTCTTGGTGATAGATCTTCAACAGTATAATTCTTTAAAAAAGGAACATTTAATTTTATTGTTTTATTTAAAAGGCTAATAATCTGAAAGCTGGTAAATATTTGGAGAAAATCAATGAGAAAATGTAACAATCTGGCCAGAATTACAGAGAGGTCCTGAGATTACATTTTACCATAGAACTGATCCTTTTAATTATATACAGGTTTGGCAGATATGTAGACCATTAGAAAAATAATTTCTAGAATTCAAAAATTCAACAATTCAATTGATAATCTCAAATGAAGCTTCTCTGCATCATCTTTGGACTATAATGTACAGTACTTGAAAAAGATTTTTTGGTTTGACATTTGAAAAAATCAAACTCCAGAAAAAATTGTCAAAAACAGAGGAAAGCTGATTTAATTCGGTATATCTAAAAAAAAACCAACACAACAGTTCCTAACAGTAAATATTTCTAAAAAAATGTTGAAAAATGCATTCGAAATTATTTATCTTTAAATTTATCTATAAGAGTATTCTCTCGCTTCTTTTTCCCTAATTTCTTGAAAATTCAAAAGTTACAGAATGTAGACCCAAAATTTGCCTTCAACTAGTGTGAGCATGAAAATTACATCATAAACAAAACAAAACAAACCCTTCCAGCAACCAGAAAATCTACTTTTTCCAGCTTTCACACCCACTCATTTTTATATACACAGTACTGTACATGTTTTCATTTTCTAGTTAACCTTTCTCACTCTTATGAGTTATGACACTTTTTCCTAGGTAGCTTTTATGTATTCCAATGACAACAACTGACTTAATATTTCTAACTTCTACAGAACATAATATTGGGTTTTACTTGCAGTATAATATTGGAATAAAAACAATTGCTTACAAAAAGCTCTCAGGCCTCATCTGCCCAGCAAAAGCACATTTTATTTGAATTCAGTTATGGCAGAGCTTATGAAATAGCAAAGCTTGTTCCTGGTCCCAACATATATATGGTAAAAATAATTAACTGCATTTTATTTCTGCAGAAAAATAGGTCTTGGCAAAAATATGTACAACTAACATATTCTCCAGCTAACAAAAAAATTATGCTTATAAATTTTCTGAGTTGACAAATATGCAAACAGGAAATCTGCTTGAAAATATTTTAGAAGGAAAACCCCCAAATTTCTCTTTAAAAAAATACAATCAGAAATGTTCCAATCCAACTTGAAAGCATTAGAGCTAAACAAAGAATTGCTTGTAAAAATGTGTGCTTTTCAAGAAATACCCCTCCTCAAACTCATGACACCAACACATTCTGGACAGACGGATTTACACAAGTTGACATCATATATGAAAATACTGTAGCACAATCGCACACATTCAAACACAAAGGGAAAAAAAATCAGTGCATGGTCAAAAAATGTATCTTTTTCGATCCTATTCAGGAGGGAGCAAGAGACGCACTGAATATAATTTCCCTGCAGATCGCCAAAGCGAAGCGACCCAAAGCAAGCAAACAACAACAAATTCCTGGTTTTCGCAAAGAAAATAATCGGAGTCATTAGTTCACGCTCTCATCTTCAATGCCCAGTGATCCGGATTGGGAAAGTGAAACCCGGACAACGGAGGGTTATTTGTCTGTTTCGAAAAAAAAAAAGCACGCGTGCGAGGGTTGGTTCATAAGTTTGTGAGACTTTTTGGAATAGACCCAGCGGAGTTTCAAAAATTCTCGCAACAATAAAAATTACTCGCTTCGCCTTATCATTTAGCAACACTTCAGTGCTGTGCAACATACTCTCTGCCGATTTCAATTCATTTTTTCATGCATTAAATCAAACGATCACAACAGTGTCAAAAAATTGAGATCTGTTATAGTTCATTTGGAACCCTGTGACTTATTCTGACTGTTGCCGACATCTTATTTCTGATGGTTGGATACATCGCATGAAAAACAAAACCACTGAAATCGGCGGAGAGTGTGTGGAACATCACTGAAGCTATCAGGGATACCCCTAGAGGTCGCCCGAATCTACAAACACACAACATGCCACAAACACAAAGATAAAACAACACACTTCCCACACAGACCTACTGACCATGAAAACCTACACAAAAAACTGGATTTCTTCTTCCTGCCCAAAAAGCAACATCACCAAAGAAACTTCACTTCCTCCAGCCCTTGCCACAGAAACTTCTCTGTTGATTGTGAACCCTAAAAAAGTGAAAGTCATCTTGTCAATATCTGTGTGAAATTAAAAAAATAGTTTCTGGAGACTTGGTCTTGGCGGCAAACAGCGTATTGTGCATTGCCTTTATTTTTGTGAAATTTCTTTGTCTTAGACCTAAGGGTCTCTCTGGAGCCAAATGAAGAGGCAATTGTTAAAACTCCGTCAGAACTATTTCAAAAAGTCTCAAATCTTATGAACCAACCCTCGTATTTAAATAGCATCGGTTTTTTTTTTGCCGGAAATAATCGCAGTCCCGAATGCCACCGGCACAGATTCCAAATGACGCTTTATAATCATTGCATTATTTCGCTCGTTTATTCATTTCTTTTTGCATATTCCGGACGCGTCTTGGTTGACGATTCGGAAGCTGTGGTCCTAGCTTATCAAAAAGCAGCTTTTTGCCTTGTTTAGGAAAGGAATCATTATTGCGACGTTTTCTCGACTGATTTGCACGCGCAACAGAGCTTGCATGAAAGGTGCACTTTCTATATGCGCTGCAGAAAGAAAAGATCCGGAAATAATCACGCACATTGTTGAACAGCTGTGACGAAACCATCATGAACCATCGGCAATTCAGCATATCGGTCTGCATGATCATGTTTGAGGGTCTTCTTATTCATGAAAAAATGTATTGAAAGTATGATGGATTTCAACAGTTTCCGATCATATTTTTTCAACTCGAAAAAAACATTCAACCATGCATTTGTTTGCATTTTTAATACAGTTGAATCTTGATCTGCTGTAAGTCAAATTTTGAAGGGATTTCAAAAGTTTACTGAAGTAGTTCTTCAGTAAAATATATGCTGCAAATGATACATTTCAAAACTTAAATTTCAAAAAGTAATACAGTACCAAATCTTCCATTTCCATCAATATTTGGAAATAATAAATGAGATTCTTTTTCAAAAATTCAAAGAAAAAACGTGCGGGAAGGTAAGAAAAATTGTAAAATATACTTTTAGCATGATTAAGAGAGAACACAAAAATCCAAATTTGCTAAAATTACTTCAGTAAAATTTCAAATTAATTATTTTTCCTGGAAAAAAAATGTTAGAAGCATATTTGAAATTTTTGAATAGAATAACTTGAAAGAAATTCGAAAAAGTCTTCGATTTCAATAAAAAAAAGGAAAAAAGTATGAATTCCAAAAAATTTGAGGAAAGAAAAGTAAAATGCTCCAAAAATTACTTTTAATTTTTTTCTGTAAGCCATTTTCATTTTATTCAATGAGATGAAGTGATTCTTAAGGGAATGTCCACTCATCATGCTTGAAAATTTTTGAACATACTTGTAAAATTCAGATTTCGCTTTTAATTCATTTTTTGAGCCCAATGTCAAAGTTTTTGAGAAAATATTCAAGCAAAATTGTGGGCTCTGAATTTTTTTTTTTTTTGGGAGTAGACATATTCAAGTTGATAACATAAAATACATCAGATTCTTCCCACCCTTTTTTACTTTTCTCAAAATGATACCAAAATTCTTCAGAAAATGCTAAGCAAATGCACTTGAGAAACAGATGCTGAAAATCACCATTGAAATTCCCAGCCATTGTTAATCCATATCACCTGTGATATGCATTTTCAGGGCGTGACCCAGGAAAGGAGCAGGACTCCACTACTTCAGTGAACAGCCATCAAACTTTCAGTAATTCATGAGCATACGGATTTTAACAGTCTCCTCTTGTTTTTTTCTCATCCTGTCAATTTTCCACCTGGATTATGGAAGAATTCCAGAAAAACTCGCAGCTTGGACAAACATGATCTCCATGAAGGCAAGGCCATCACAAACATTCTTCATCAAAAGCATGAAGTCCAATGGTCAAAGGCAGGATTGGGGAAAGAACTGGGAGAGCACTTGGGATCTTTTGCCCTACAGCAATGGGATCAAAGTTCTGATTGATCCCATGTGGACCCAGGAGGAAAACGATGCTTGGGACCTGCCAGTGAACATCAGCACAGACGGGGATTACGAAGGCATTTTTTCCCACTTGCCCTCCAGCCAGGAAACCATGGAAAACCCGCTGTTGATACGAAACCTCAACAACTCGGTCCTTTTGCCACCAGCATGGGAAAGGGATTACGCGCTGACCAACGCTGATCTCCAGGATCCATCGGAACTGCAAATGACAAGGAAAATCATCATGCCCTTGCTTCAAGAACGATTTATGGTGAGCCCACAATAATAAGTGATTCTGATGCAAAAAAAGTGAAATTTTTAATGGATATATAATCAACAGCAGAATGTTTCCAACGGGGGAATATTTTTCGAAGTAGGAGCCTTGGATGGGGAGAAATCATCGCGGACTTTGTACTTGGAGCGGTTTCACAATTGGACTGGGATTTTAGCAGAAATGACGGGACCCAACTTGAATCTCTTGAGGAGCAAAAATAGGAAAGCCTGGATTGCTCCTGTTTGTGTTTCCAATGAAAAACGGCCACTTGTGGTGAGTAAGTTGAGCATTTTTCATCTGCAATAAAAAGTGCAATTTAGCAGAATTTCATAAGGGAACACAGTAGGGATGGTTCAAAATTGTTGTCAGGTTTTTTGCCAGCCCACGCGAAATTTCTGCAGCATAATAAATTTATCAAAAGTAGCAATTACAGTATGTCCATAATCTTCATCTGAAATTTTCAGGAAGACAATGGCAACTGAAATTATCTGATGAAAAATAAAAGTTGGCTTTTCTTCTAAAAACACTTTGGACAAATCCTCACCCACCAAAATATATATTGTATTTTTAATTTTTATGTTCTGAGAAAAACCTTTCTTCAAGCAAAACTTCATTATTTTTTTAAGATATTCCACATCTAGAGTTGCTTCATTGGTTCTCAATTTAGTTTTTGAAGAAAAGCAGAAACTTTTTAATACCTGTCAAAGTCTTTCAAGCAAATGAGTCTGCAAACATTTTATGAAACCTTGCTGGTCCACAGGAAATTTTAGGGAAATTTGCCAGTCTGAAAAATAAAAATAAAGGAAATTTTCCAGTCCATGGGCCCAAAAAGGTTAGGGAACACTGCTCTATATGGTACATGGGTTTCCAGGACAGGATTCCTCACCCATAACATGAGATCAAAAATCATGATTTGAAGAAACCTTTCTATTTGCCAATAATTTTCTTCAAATGAAACACAGACTTGAGGAACTTCTTGGTCCCTTTTCAATACTTGAAGGACAACCTTGAAAGTTGGTATAAAAAAAAGAACCTCTTCTTCTGAAGTAATATTCAGATCTGGTAAATACTTACAAGTCCATTATTTTCAAAAAGTTGGTAGCAATTAGTCTGCCTCCAAACTCCAAAGATGTAGAACAAAAGCAACAGTGACAGGTAAAATTGATTTCCACTCCAAGACAGTCAGGAAATTCCAATTCTCTCATCATTACTCCATTTATAACTGGTTGAGCAAAAATTTGAACAGGGGTACAAAACATCAAAACAATTTCATAAAAATTACATTTTGCAAATGCAGATTGCCAATAATTGACAAAACTAATGAACTTGCAGATGCCTTGACATGGGGACAATTTGACATAGGGACATTTATTTTTCAACAAAAAAATCATAAAAAAAAGACCCGACATGAGGACACTGACTCAACCTAGGGACATTGAAGGATAAAATTCCAAAATAAATTTTAGGAAAATCATTTTTATAAGGCTTAATTGCAAGAAACAGATGTTTCTAACCTAAGATCTAAGCAAGAAAAATTCTTTGGTACTTTTCGAATCCATTCAGCTAATTCAAAATATGCCCTAAAACACAGAGGGACTTCCTTCTATAGCTCTCTTTGTGACATGGATGTTATTTTTNCTTGTTGTGATTACGGCCTTGCTGTGTAGGTGTCGCTACTATTTTCTTTATTTTCATCATGTTTTGTTGAAAGTAATGATAGTAAGTTCTGAGGTTCTGGTGAAGATGGCGGTGTATGGTCATTTTGCTGGCGTTTTTTCAGAGGGGCGCGAATTTTGGGACTTTGATAGAACGGATTAGTGATTTTGTTGTCTTGGTCTTGTGTCTCTTTTTTTTTTGTCAAATTTGTTTGAAGAGATACCGTGGTACGCAGGTATCAGTCAGTCTTTTGGTCTTTACAGTCCTTCATTTTTTCTTTCCAGATATCGTGGTTCGCAGATATCTGTGACACCGTGGTACGCGGGTGCCAGATTGTCAGTCCGTCATGTTGTGTCTGTTGATTGTATTTGAAAAGGTTATGTTTATCTGGTCTGATTGAGATGTACATTATTTTTTTTTGTTTAGGCTGTTGCTTGTGTTGATCATTGTTCGGTTTGTTGATATTTGGTTGTTGAGGTGATGACTGAGGAAGGTAATTCGGACGAACGTCTGATGCTCGACGTCCATCCTGGTTAGTTGTTTTTCTGTTTGATAGAGATTTGTTGCTAATAATTGCGATGTGTTTGGTTCTAAGGTTTTTCTGCAAATGAGGATTTGGTATCGTTCGAAGATGCAGCTATTGAGGAGGACGGGCGCGAAATGATGTTTGGTGGAGTGGATTCAGGCCATCTTCAGCCTGATCCCACAAGTCACGAGAGCTTAATTGATATGATATCTGAGCCTGCTCGTGTTGTATTAGATGTTCCTGTGGAGGCTGCGGAGGTGGCTTCATCAATGCAGTTTCTGTCTGGTGGTGAATGGAGGAAGGTTGAAGAATTGTTACAAGTTGCTCGGCTGGACGTGTTATATGATGATGCCTGTTCTGGTTTGACGGCGCGTGTGGAGAAAAAGAGGTCAGAGAATGCGGTGTTGGAGGAGAAGCTGGCAATTTTGGAGCTGGATGAGATTCGTTTGGTTGAGCGCACAAGCTGTTTGGTGTCGGCTGCAGAGAGGGCCAATGAGTCGGTTTTGCGTGCTCGGCACAACTTAGATGTGACGTTTGCTTGTGAAGCCAAGGTGGATCGTGCAGCTTTGCTATCAGTCTGTAACCAAAAGGGTCATCAGTACGTGGTACTGAAGGATTGTGAGAATATCGTGGAAGAGGGTGTGTATGAGAATGTTGTTTTATGCTTTTGTTCCCTTTTTTATGTAAATGTTTGGAATGTGTTGATAGATGGTGTGGTGTCAGTTCCCATGGAGGGTTCTGTGTTCCACTTTGGTCATCAGGATGCTTTGCATCGATTTTGGGAGTGCAGGCTGGCTCCTGTTGGGGCTGTGCCTGATGTTGATATCTCAGGGAAACGTGTGAGGGATGATTGCGATGACGAAAATGGTGTGAGAGGTGGGGCAAAGGTGCTGCGTTCCAATGGTCCTGTGGTGGTACCTCAAGGTGGCTTATCTCAAAAGGAGGTTCACTTTGCTCCATCGTTTGCGAGTGTGGTAAAGTCAGGTGCGTTTATTGTGCTGTTTTTATTTTTCAAGTATATTTTGTGTGCTATATTGATTGCGTTTTTTTTAGGGAGGGAGTCTCCGTTTTCTGTGACATGTTATCGGCCTCGTGATCTGTCATCGTATGTAAAGGCTGTGTCGTTACGGATGGGACTAACTTCTCGGGTCCTGGCAGCATTGAACGGGCATAAGGTGGATTTGCCTATCCCTGGTTGTCTTGTGGAAGATTTCCATTATGGTGCTCCAAAATTGCGTCATGATGGGCCTGCGTTGATGCCAGACAAGGCGGTGGCACGGGGACTGTTGTTGTCTGATTCTTTGTGCTCACTGTTTCGTTTGGTTAGTGGCCGTTGGATTTTTTTGGGTCGGATGGGGAGTATCCATGAGGTGATGGATCCGATTCTTGATTTTGAGTATCTTATGCGGGATATTCCCATGCAGTTGTTTCAGGTATGATTGTGATTTGAATTTTTGGTTCATGAAATGATCAAGAGTGCTGTGTATCTTTGCAGTATTCAATGAGCGGATGGGCTGGGGTGTGTTCCCCTACTGCTGTTAGTGCGTCTACTGTGCGTACTGGAGTTTATGCTGATTTGAATCTTGAGGAGGAATTTTTGTTCACACATTTGTTTGTGAGACTGGGAACAAATGACATCCGCTTCCCGGCAACGACGCCCCCAAAACAAATACTGGACAACCAAATACCTTTGACAACTCACAAAAAAACTCACTCATCTTGGAAAACCAAGACAAAAAATCGGAAATGCCACAACTCTTTGTAGTCGACGCCAGGAAGCGGATGTCATTTGTTCCCAGTCTCACAAACAAATGTGTGAACGAAAATTCCTCCGCAAGATTCAAATCAGCATAAACTCCAGTACGCACAGTAGACGCACAAACAGCAGTAGGGGAACACACCCCAGCCCATCCGCTCATTGAATACTGCAAAGATACACAGCACTCTTGATCATTTCATGAACCAAAAATTCAAATCACAATCATACCTGAAACAACTGCATGGGAATATCCCGCATAAGATACTCAAAATCAAGAATCGGATCCATCACCTCATGGATACTCCCCATCCGACCCAAAAAAATCCAACGGCCACTAACCAAACGAAACAGTGAGCACAAAGAATCAGACAACAACAGTCCCCGTGCCACCGCCTTGTCTGGCATCAACGCAGGCCCATCATGACGCAATTTTGGAGCACCATAATGGAAATCTTCCACAAGACAACCAGGGATAGGCAAATCCACCTTATGCCCGTTCAATGCTGCCAGGACCCGAGAAGTTAGTCCCATCCGTAACGACACAGCCTTTACATACGATGACAGATCACGAGGCCGATAACATGTCACAGAAAACGGAGACTCCCTCCCTAAAAAAAACGCAATCAATATAGCACACAAAATATACTTGAAAAATAAAAACAGCACAATAAACGCACCTGACTTTACCACACTCGCAAACGATGGAGCAAAGTGAACCTCCTTTTGAGATAAGCCACCTTGAGGTACCACCACAGGACCATTGGAACGCAGCACCTTTGCCCCACCTCTCACACCATTTTCGTCATCGCAATCATCCCTCACACGTTTCCCTGAGATATCAACATCAGGCACAGCCCCAACAGGAGCCAGCCTGCACTCCCAAAATCGATGCAAAGCATCCTGATGACCAAAGTGGAACACAGAACCCTCCATGGGAACTGACACCACACCATCTATCAACACATTCCAAACATTTACATAAAAAAGGGAACAAAAGCATAAAACAACATTCTCATACACACCCTCTTCCACGATATTCTCACAATCCTTCAGTACCACGTACTGATGACCCTTTTGGTTACAGACTGATAGCAAAGCTGCACGATCCACCTTGGCTTCACAAGCAAACGTCACATCTAAGTTGTGCCGAGCACGCAAAACCGACTCATTGGCCCTCTCTGCAGCCGACACCAAACAGCTTGTGCGCTCAACCAAACGAATCTCATCCAGCTCCAAAATTGCCAGCTTCTCCTCCAACACCGCATTCTCTGACCTCTTTTTCTCCACACGCGCCGTCAAACCAGAACAGGCATCATCATATAACACGTCCAGCCGAGCAACTTGTAACAATTCTTCAACCTTCCTCCATTCACCACCAGACAGAAACTGCATTGATGAAGCCACCTCCGCAGCCTCCACAGGAACATCTAATACAACACAAGCAGGCTCAGATATCATATCAATTAAGCTCTCGTGACTTGTGGGATCAGGCTGAAGATGGCCTGAATCCACTCCACCAAACATCATTTCGCGCCCGTCCTCCTCAATAGCTGCATCTTCGAACGATACCAAATCCTCATTTGCAGAAAAACCTTAGAACCAAACACATCGCAATTATTAGCAACAAATCTCTATCAAACAGAAAAACAACTAACCAGGATGGACGTCGAGCATCAGACGTTCGTCCGAATTACCTTCCTCAGTCATCACCTCAACAACCAAATATCAACAAACCGAACAATGATCAACACAAGCAACAGCCTAAACAAAAAAAAATAATGTACATCTCAATCAGACCAGATAAACATAACCTTTTCAAATACAATCAACAGACACAACATGACGGACTGACAATCTGGCACCCGCGTACCACGGTGTCACAGATATCTGCGAACCACGATATCTGGAAAGAAAAAATGAAGGACTGTAAAGACCAAAAGACTGACTGATACCTGCGTACCACGGTATCTCTTCAAACAAATTTGACAAAAAAAAAAAGAGACACAAGACCAAGACAACAAAATCACTAATCCGTTCTATCAAAGTCCCAAAATTCGCGCCCCTCTGAAAAAATATACCTGCGTACCACGGTATCTCTTCAAACAAATTTGACAAAAAAAAAAGAGACACAAGACCAAGACAACAAAATCACTAATCCGTTCTATCAAAGTCCCAAAATTCGCGCCCCTCTGAAAAAACGCCAGCAAAATGACCATACACCGCCATCTTCACCAGAACCTCAGAACTTACTATCATTACTTTCAACAAAACATGATGAAAATAAAGAAAATAGTAGCGACACCTACACAGCAAGGCCGTAATCACAACAAGAACAACATAACCTTCATTCCTCGTTTCCGTCCGAAAAGAATGAAATAAATTTTTTCGAATTTCTTTCATATTAAAATTTAATTTAGTTAAAAAAAAAAAAACGAACAACCTCACACTGATAATTTTTTATTTTTTTAAACTAAGGGGGACTTTTGTCCCGGAAACTCGGAACCGTTGCCAACTCAGAAACAGTTGGCACCCAAAAAATGGAGGCAAGGAAGAAGGCAGGAAAGCACCCCACCCCACCACCGGAAGATGTAAAAAGCACCCCACCCCACCCCACCACCGGAAGGCGCAGAAAGCACCACACCCCACCCCACCAAAAAAGACAGAATCAGAGGAGAGAAGAAGACACACTCACCTCCGAAATTCCGAAGCGAGCAGACGTATCCAAAAGTGTCCGATAGCATCAGTTTTTCGAGAACCTCTTCAACCCAGAGTGCTTTTTCCCGTTTTTGATCTTTAAGTTCTTGAAACCTGTGAAAGAATTAGTAAACAAATCAGATTCAGTCCCTTTAGTTGGGGACAGGCCGGTCTCCCGGCTGAGTGTTGTGTTCTTTTCTTTCTTTTCACATTCAAAACTCTGACTTGGTTCTACTGAGAATATTCGTGTTTCAAAAGTCGACAAAGGTCTTTTTCGTTAAATGCTAAACTTTTAAATTCTTTTGTTGCCGAATTTCTAGTGATTCCGCGACAGGTTGAATGACATAATTAAAACTCCACCATAAGCAATGGAGTAATTCTTGACCTCAACAAATTGTAGAAACAATCATGACAGATGGATCAACACCTGAAACAATCACAGCACAATAAAAAATAATATCTTAGTTACATAAAACAGTGATCCACAACCCATGGTCTGCAGAATTTTTTGCCAGTACGCAGAGAATTTTCTTCAGCATAGTAACTTTATTAAAAGAAGCAAGGAAGTCTGTGATCTTATTCCAAAATTTCTGAAAAACATTGGCACTTGAAATCATCTGATGACAAATAAAAGAAGGCTTTTCTCCTGATAACACTACAGACAATTTTTCACCTGCTGAAATACATTACAATATTTCAATTTTTAATTCTGAGAATTCCTTCTTCAACCCCTCTTTTCTAATTTTTAAGACATTCTACTATAGCTGCTTCATTGGTTCCTGACTTGATGTTTGTAAAAGCGCAGAACATTTTCAAACACCTGCCATAAAGTCTATCAAACAAAACCTTTGTGAGTCCACACAAATATAATGAAACTTTACCAGTCCGCAAACAAATTTATGAAAATTTACTTATCTGCAAAAATGTATGGAAATTTGCTGGTCCACTGCAAAAAATTATGGAAATTTTTCAGTCCACCGGCCGGAAAGGGTTGGGTAACACCAACATACAAGTCATCACAACCGCAGCAGCAATAATTGCACATCTGAGGTACATCTGAAGTTGATGGGTTATGTTCCATCAGCTCATTTGCCCTTTCCATCATTCTAGACTGTATGAGTACAAGAATTTCAAAAGGAAGAGGCATTGACAAAAAGAACTTCTATATACAGTACCTTTTCATCCAAGTATCAACCTGAAGCTTATTCTGCTGAAGATTCATCTATCCGCTTCAAACAAGGTCATGTCGAGTCAGATCGAAGGAAGGAAGGAAGGAATGAAAAGCAGGTCCTCCTGAGTAACGTAAATGCAATATCCAACCAAAACCAACAAAAACAAGGTTTCATCACAAAGCAACGGGAAAATCCCACAAGATCCAAATAACAAACAATAGATTCATTCGATCAAAGAATTTGGAATGTTTCCGTTCCCAAGTGTCACCCCAAGAAAAATTTGGATTTACAACCTCAAGCAGCTTCGTCGCATGAGCATGAGCTATAAATGCGCTTTCAAATCACTTACGAAAAAAAACAAAACAAAAGCGAAGCTCAAACATGCACCACAAACAATCTCTTGATGGAAAAATAAAACAGATCTCTATGGGTTATTTTTTTCTCAAAAAAAATTACTCGAAAAATTAAATTGTCTTTTTCACTTTTTGTGTACAATCAAATCCCACGTATCTTTCCATCTCAGGTTCTCCACCTGATCCTTTGTCAACTCGGTCAGGCCATAAGAGAGCGGCAAGAATTTGAAAAATACAAACGCGATTCCCATCAAAATGACGACCGCAGATGTCTTGGCAAGGATTTGTAATTTCTTGCTGCCAGCCAATCTGTACAAATTAAGACATACCATTCGTAAACATGTCATGAGCATCATAAATACAGTACTGTATATTAAAAGTTCACATCTTCTAAAATACGACACTGTTGAAAAAAAATTAAGGTTTGCCCGACAATCCTAATACAAGGTTATGGGATGGACGAACATAATATTCACGTGACACTGCTTAACAGAACACATTTTCTAACATATTTTGATCTACCATGAATACCGAAAATTGTCGAAATCGTAATTTTGAATATGTATCTGGAAAATTCTGGATGGTTCAGCATTTCTTTCCATGAGCAACATTCCGGTCAAAATAAACATTCCGCTTGAAAAAATTCAAGTAAGCGTTACTTGCAGAGCTGCAGTAAATACTGTACTTTCAAAGCCAAATTCCGAGGAAATAGCCTTGTTTAATACTTGGTGCAAGCGTTAGATAACTCAAAAAACCATTGAGCATGTTTTCAATCTTTGCGGATAAGTTCGACAAAATGATCGAATCTGGATTAAGTAAACTGAAGAAGTAAAATGGCGAATGTTTGAGAGACCACTAAGAACTCATCCATCGAATTATTTTTTATTTACTTTGAAGTGATGTGACGTGGCAGACTTGAAATTCTACGAAAAGCCTTTCATCAGCACAACGAAAATATCGCATTCGTGATTTTACTGGGGTGGCGAAAATTAAAAATGGGTGCTTTTCGAAGCCCACAATAAACATTCGGATTTCTGGCAGATTCAGAAAAAAAGAGCGAGTGGCTTGAAGATTTTTAAGAAAATATTTTTCGAAGAAAATCTCTTTATGATCATGCATTGAAGAAAATGACACAGAGCAAAAGGAGGCTTCGACTTGATGAAAGAGAAAAATTACAAAAATAAAATTTAAATCAACTCACGTTAGAAGCACACGGAAGTGATCAAATACCGCTGCAGCTACAAGCAACTTGAAGAGCAATGCTGGAAAGTAGTTATACAGGAAAAGGGTCCGGTCTGCCAAAAAGTAAGGCACGAAGTGCATCAAATATCCAGCTCCTAGAACTTCCCCGGAGAACCGGAACTGCTGCCACACATCTATGAATATAAAAATTTGAAAAATCATCAGCCAATCACTCAGACGATGCCGCAGAAAAGTCACACTGGCACAAATTCACTTTTATTCACATTCTTTCAAAAGCCGAATCCAGTGCAGTAATTATACTTAGGCTATTTTGACCAGTGAATGACTCAATGACTTACCTTCAGATTTGAAACTCTTTCTATACGCAAATGATTTCATGCTAGATTATCTAACATACATCAATTCTCAATTTTCCTTTTAATGACAAGGTATCAGTTTTGGGAAACGAAGCGCAATTGAGAGATTCTTGATTCAAGTGGACTCCCATTACAAAGAAATCCAATGCACCAGGAAAACTACACTGCAGAAAACCCCTGAAACATGCGTAAAACTGAATAAAACTCTACGCGACCAATAAAATCGTTATAGAGAGATAATCGTAGATAATCGTAGAAAACAAAATCGTAGAAGACAGTCTACCTGTACATGTTTTGAATCTTAAACTTGATTATGAAAATAAGTCTAGGTCTGAAGCAGGGAAAAAACAATTTCAGAAAATTATCATCACCAAGATAAGTTGCAATCCCACGTCTGTTTTGATCATCCAATCCAAGTTCATCAGAATTTTAACGCAGGATGGAAGAAAATTGGGTCAGAAGGCAATATTTTCAAAAACAATTTTAAATTAAGTATTATAACTGGATGTAATTTTAAAATACAATACCTATCCTCTCACCTGATGAAAAAATACCTAAATATTCTTTACAGTCAATTCAATTTATTTAATTTTGTGAGCCAGTTCACACGTATTGGAACTTCGCCACAGAAAAAAAATCACATTTTCCAGAACTCCAAAAAATTCCTACCACTGATCCTCAAATTGTCTATTTCTCCGCATCAATACAAAAGAGCTACTGTCAGGATCACTCCTAACCAACCCCCAAAAAATAAAACCAATAAACGTACACCACATAAAATTCAAAAATAAAAACGCCAGGTGTCAGTTGCGCAAAACACACACCTTCAGGAATGTCGTAGCAATTCCTTCGTCGTCGCATCAAATAAAACACCAAGAGCAAGAAGTACAAGACCAAGGCGAACGTGCCCGTGTACCACACCAGTACATTCCCGAGCAAGTGGATCTGGGCATTGGATTCCACGGAAATCCAGTAGGCGATCCCGCGGGTCAAAAAGGGCCACTCCAACGGACTGCTCATGTACATGTGTTGCTGCGGACTGTCAGAGCCCAGCAGCAGCATCTTCAACTGCAGCTCCAGCATCTTCTCCCAAAAGCTGAGTTTCGTGGGTTCCATGGGTATCATTTCGTGGAGTATCAGTTCTCGTTCCCGGTCCTTTTGGGCTTGATCTGAAGAAATCAAGGATAATACAGTTCAACCCCAGTTAACAGAGGCAATATTTTCGCACAGTAGATTTCTCACTCTGAAGACTCGATCGAACAGCAGACTGCTTCGGATAACGGACAAAGTTACAAGGTATGTTTTAAAGAATTGCCAGTACACATGTGACTGCCACAGAAAATAGTTTCGAAAATGAACAGAAAAATCTTGATCGTGGTTTTCATAATGGTGATAAAAAAAATGGTTGAATTTTCAAGTGGGTTCACAGCTTTTCTCTTTGTAACGTCGAAAAATTCGGCACAAGACTCAAATGACATTGTGGCTGACCTGGTGGGACCTTGAGAACTAATTTGTTCTGAACAATAATTCTTTGAAACTAGTCTGAAGGAATACGAAAAATGTTTAGCTAAGAGACTTGTGCAGATTTTTCAGTTTTCTCAGCAGAAAATAACAGAAAACAAATTTCTAATTTTGTGAGTTACGAAAATTGTCATTGTCACACTAAACGACGGAAAACTGAAAGGAAGGAAACTCGAACACGGGAGAACTCTAGCAGTTGACATTCACTAAAACCAGTTTCAAACACAGGAATGATGCAAAAACAGCAGATAAAGCATACGTACTTCTTGTGTGTCGATGCTCCTCTACGTTCCACACAGTATCCAGCTGATTGATTACGCGGTCAGTAACTACTTCGTATTGATTATAACCCCATTCGGGCAATTGTTTCCCGCTGACTTTCAAACCTTGGGTCGAATTCACGTGAATCAGTCGCACCTGGGGCGAGGAGAAACGAAAAAATTGATGAAATTCGAGAGTAATGAGAATACCGCGATCAATCAATTATGATCCACACCTTTCCCCTATCAATGGGGAAGAAATGCTGGCCTGGCATAAAATTCGAGAGATTCGTCTACAGGCTGTACTCAGTTGAAAAATTCGGCCTATTTTCGCAACTATGTTTCAGATGAATTCCGAATTGGTTTCGAAAGGTGGAAAATGATAATATTTATGCTGAAAATGTAAAAATAAAGTTTTTCTGTTGGAATCTTGGAAAACAGATTGTTATCCCACAGCAACGCATTTATTATACAGGCATTCATATTCTTTGAATTTATGGACAATTGACTTGGGCTGCCAAAATTTTTTTGCTTCGGATGGCAGATCCTCCTTCGTACAGGACTGCATGGAAACTGACACGTTCTTTTATAAAAAAAAAATCAATGTTACTGCGAAAAATGCGGCTGCGTGCATCGTTTTCTAAGCTGATACAGAATTTTATGATGTATGGGTTGCGTTGGCATAGCTCTCTTCGTTTCTGTATGTTTTCGGGGTCGTTAGATGATATTACATGATACGAACTAATTCAATTTATCAATGTTTCCGAAAATTCATGAGTGGAATTTCCGAAGGATCTCGAACGAATTCCCTATTGCACACAGCGAAGCATAAGGCTATTAATGGACTTTTGAGGGGGGTCTGAACCTATTCCTCTTTCGATACACAGATTTACATTACAGTGTTTGCTGTTTGGTTTATAGACTTTTAAAATACAGTAAAGTAATGGACTTCTTATCTAAACGGAATAAGTCATTATTCGAGTCAGTCGCGTAAATTTCGATGTCGCGGCATGAGAGCTGAATATTCGTACTTGCGATTCCACGGTGTGCCAGAAATCGCCGACCTTGTCTCGGTTAACGATTTCTACCCTCCACAAAATCTGGGCAGGCATGCTGATGTTGTAATCAATGTAGCAGGATACTTCTTGGTGTTGCGGAGACAAAGGAGCGGCGACGTCGTGAGCGTTCAAAGCACGAGAAGACAGACCATGGACGAGTTGGATGATGTCTCCATGCTTGATTCGGTCTCTGGGCTCGGATACAACTAAATCATTTCTGAAAAAGACGAAAAATGTTTAGAGTTAGGTAAAACGTCCATGATATTCTAGACGGGGGCTTTTCAACCGGTGATACGCGTTCCATTGTTGGTACCCACGGCACTCGTCAAGTTTTAGATGATCTCGGTTTAGAATTTTTTAGACCTGTTCCAAAACTGATCAACCGCGAGGTCAAGCATGAAAAGATTGCAATGGAATGCAGCTAAAAAAACATACAATTTTATCTAGCCCCACTGTTCAAAGCACTGCACATATTGAAAGAATTATTTAAGAATTCAAAAAGTTGCTCCATTCTTCAAAAAGTCTATAATGCCATATCTGTGATTCAATGCATAAAACTGAATTAAATTTGAAATTTTTCATTCAGTCAAAAATCATTGTCTATTTTGCCGGCGAAAACTCTTCATATTGGCGAAGTGGCCCTTGGCAACAAACAAAAAAATTAAAAATTATTAATGTGGGCTTGGGCCACACCTGAGTTTGGCAGCACGGTTCTAGTACTTCTAGAGACCCTTTCATGTTTTCATCGTGTTCATGCCTGAGAGAATACAATAGATGAAACGAAAACAAATACTTTTTTCTATCAAAGGCTCGCAGAAGTAAGAGGGAAAAGCTGCGTTCTGTAGCAGCGTAGGAATCCTGCTCTTTGCTGTAGTTAGGACAAAAATATTGGAAGAAAACAGTGAAATAATTTTCAGAAAACTCTCGAAGTATCACGATTAACAAGAAATTTCCCCGAACGGCTTGAAAATCCCTCGAAGTTGCTCGGAACTAAGACAAGCCTTCTACAAAAAAAAAAAAAAAGAAGAAAGAACCCATTGTCATAATAACACAAAAATCAATCAAACGATTCTCCAGCTGAATTTCTCTCCAGTAACGATTCGAAAGAACAAATACTGTATAATATGTTTCGAAAATACGATTGTCCACGAATTACCGTTCGGGTCGCTTTACGATCCACCAGTTATTGACATCCTTAAAAGAGTAGCAGGTGACTTGCTGCTGATGCGAGGAACCCCGGCCGTCTGGATATTTTATGGGATAGGTGTCTTCGTGGGAATGCATCCAGCAAGGGCGTCCAAACGTGTGTCTCAACGTTATCTGACTTCCGTGAACGATTTCCAGAGGCTGATTCTGAATCACTGCTGCAAGTCCACCCTTCAAGAAAAGAAGCACACAAAAGACGTCATTCAAACATCGGGTTTCTCGGAATTATTGTTCGCATCCCCTAATTTGAAATACTGTACTATACATTTATTTCCCTCAACCAAAAAAATGAAATTCCTCAGAAAATGCACATTCCCGGTCTAAGGGAACACAGAAAAAAAACCGTGTAAAAAGGATCTTTCACGATTAAATTTATGAATGTTCCTAAAAAAAGCGAGTTTTCCGACTTTCAATTTTATTGGAATTTTTCACTCAATATACTCGTACAGTACTTGAGATTCAATATCTTCCCGAAATGCACGTGACCAAACATCCCCTGCATTCAAAAGTTCACTCTATTATGCGAAGTTTTGGAATTTATTCGGTCATAGTGTAAGTTTTCGGCTGAGTCAAATGTTTATTCAACTTAGCCCTTCAGAGTCCAGAGGGCTATTATTTCGGTTCGCTCTTCGGTCACGTTTGACAACGGAGCGACATCAATGCAAGATTCGATCATCTGGAAAGCGGGAACAAGTACATTGAGTGGCAACAAAATTTGATCCTTCTCTTTTTCAGTTAAAATCTGTTCTTTATAATCGGTTAAATTGAAGTCAATGGTAGTCACCAAGTAATTTCAAGCTAACAATAAGACGTACAGTATCCCCTTCCATCTTTTTGTGGATTCCTTATGAATATGCTTGAAAATTGGGTGGATGAAACAATACCATAGAAATTCGATCGGGGTTTCGATGTACAGTACAGTACATTTCATGAAATCGGGAGGGCAGATTTCATGTCCTGCTTTAAACAAACAAAAAAAAACTTTCTCAACGCCAGTTATTTCAATGTACATAATTTTGTGTGTGCTGAATCTAGCACAGATATTGGACGCACCAAAAATCCAAACTTATGTTCAAAGGCAGAATACGCTTATATTCAGTAATTTATTCTATACACTCCGATCAAACATCACGGAGTACCTAGTCCGATTTTCAGGCCGCAAAAGCAAAAATTCAGAGAAATGACCACTTAATCGCATGAGGTTGTCGCCAAGCGGGAGAAAACAAAAACAAATTACCTCCAAAGACGACTGAAAATGCGACGTCATGACGTTGTCGTGCGGGCCAGCTTTCGTCAGCACACTCAAGTGCACATAGAAGCAAGTCAAATAAACCAGCAGCGGTACCACGACAAAAGCAGCGCAAAAAATAGCAGCGTGTCGAACCAAAGTGCCAGAACTTATCGACTTATCCGGCACGTGACGCCAGAGAAACCTCGCAAGCGCCGCCGCGCCCAAACACAGCGAGAAGAACCCCACGAACTTCACACTGGGTGGAAATAAAAAATAAATAAATATTACTCGATACATCTTGAAAAAGTTGCCGAACTGTTTGATCATGCTTTGTCAGGCTAAAACGACAGTATTTTGGTGATTCGCAAGACTTTCGAGAAACCTTGCGAATTGAAAATAAATCAAAAGCTTTCGTATACGCGGAGCAAGTTGCAAACCAATCATCTTACCACACGGCACAAGCGAGAAATCCAATCCCAAAGACCAGGGACAGCCACCACGAAGCGGAAAAATAGTCACTATTACTGGGCTTCCGATGAGTGATTTTCAGCACAAATAACAGGCCGACAGCAGCAAAAAGCAACAACTGGGATTCCATAAGCACGAATCTACTTTGGCACAGGAGACCGTTATCTACAGAAAGATGAAGCAGTCAAAAAATAGGATCAACAAATTGAAAAAAAAGAACTTTCACGTGAACAAACAAAACCCTTACCATCGAGAGAATTTTCTTCCACATTGATCTTTGAAAGGGGTTGATTGAATTCCAGATTAAATAAAAGTTTAAAATGCATTTTTTGCCCAGTACGCAACAGCAGATCGCAACGAAAATATCCCAATGTGACAAATGAGAATGGTTTCGAATTCCACCTTTAACAATGCCATCAGCAATTTTAGAAATACAGCTAAGAAGCCTATTCTGTAGTAAATGTCTTGAAAATGTCCATCGATTCTCTCACGAAAAGCGGTTTCGAAATTCGGGGCAGGTATAGCAGTACATACCAAGGAAAACCTTCTCCAATGTCGGCAAAATATCATAATTCGTTTTCATGTAGTTCTTCAAGTTCGAAAAAATCGTCTCCAATCGTCTTCACGAATGTCGGTGCGACTTTAATACAGTTTTGCAGGAGTACTCAAAATTTTAACAGATACAAAGTTTTTCTGCTACTGCCGACGGGTTTCACATCAACCCTCGTATATTCAAATTTCCATCAAAATGTGTTCCGCATAAAACAATTCGTATACCAGCAGACATTCACAAGAAGTACTTTCTGATAAACTCACCAAACAACACAAGCAGAGCTGCTATGCCAGCAGCAAAATGCGAGAAGCCCATTTCCACTACCAGGTGGTAAATTATTGGCACAAGAATGCATCCACAAAGAGCAGGGACGAACCGCATGGCAAATACTGGCATATCCGGAGCATATGGAGCCCCGATTTTTGTAAACGTGTAATTCAACGCAGCATCTAAAATATATTTTTACAATTGCAGATTATGGTACAGTACTACATTCGGTTTCATCTTTATCTAAATCGAGACCCACATTAGAAGAGCAAATATCAGCAACGGTGGCGAAATAAGACGAATAACCAATACGGCAATATTATATTCAAAAAATAGGTCTCAAAGGACCAACCTTAAAGAACAGGTTCACAGAAGAGCAGGGATCAAAACAGCAACTTCCACAGCTCAGGTACAGTATTTTAAAGACCGCGCAGTACTTCGATTTTTCTGTGACAACTCTAGATGCTGTTCTAACTTTTTTCACCTCCTCTTCTGAATTATCATTCGATTTGCTCCACTATGGTAATGTAAAAATTTGCAGTTTCCAATGGTATGCATACATTTTAATATCAAAGCGATCAACAGTAAGCGTGGTTCCCTCNCAGCAGACATTCACAAGAAGTACTTTCTGATAAACTCACCAAACAACACAAGCAGAGCTGCTATGCCAGCAGCAAAATGCGAGAAGCCCATTTCCACTACCAGGTGGTAAATTATTGGCACAAGAATGCATCCACAAAGAGCAGGGACGAACCGCATGGCAAATACTGGCATATCCGGAGCATATGGAGCCCCGATTTTTGTAAACGTGTAATTCAACGCAGCATCTAAAATATATTTTTACAATTGCAGATTATGGTACTACATTCGGTTTCATCTTTATCTAAATCGAGACCCACATTAGAAGAGCAAATATCAGCAACGGTAGCGAAATAAGACGAATAACCAATAAGGCAATAATATATTTAAAAAATAGGTCTCAAAGGACCAAGCATAAAGAACAGGTTCACAGAAGAGCAGGGATCAAAACAGCAACTTCCACAGCTCAGGTACAGTATTTTAAAGACCGCGCAGTACTTCGATTTTTCTGTGACAACTCTGGATGCTGTTCTAACTGAAAAAAGTGGAGGAGAAGACTTAATAGTAAGCTAAACGAGGTGATACCATTACATTTTTAAACGTCAAAGGTTACCATACGTATGTAAAATTATAGTTTCGCTAGTTGTCATTCGCACCAAGGGAGCCATGCAAATGGACACGACGAGGATAATCATCAAGCAGACAGAAGTTCAGGCGTCACAACGGAAAGTTGCATAAGGTTCGGCCTGCATATTAATACTATACTGTACTCATTAAACTCTCGGTTATTTCCGCCTGCTCGTTCGAATTTTTTTTTTCAGCATTAGCTCTTATGGGATGCAAAATCATTTCAGTTTCCAGTCTCACGCTTCAGTTTTCGAATCAATAAGTGATCGAATAGCAATAGATGCTCACCTCCAATGCCGGAAAATCGCACTGCGAGAGCAACAAGCTGCTTTCCAAGAGGTGGTTGAGAGTCAAAGAAGAATGCCTGTTTTTGGTACATCTGAGCAAATTTTCCGTAGTGCAGCTCGTCGAATCTAAAATAGTAAAGAAGGGTGAAATTTCTTCTCATCGTTAAAAAAAACCTTTCCTCATTTTATCGATCGGTAATCAATTTGACAGAACTTCCGTGACGGACGATAGCTAATAACTACGGTGAATCAATACAAATCTTAGAAAATAAACTCACACAATATGCCGAGGTTCGTCTAGTCTGTAAAATCTCGTGGCAAACGCCATCACAAAAAGAAGTACCGCAAAACCGTCAATTTCTATAGAAAAAGCCTTACCTGAGCTGCCCCAAGAGTCAGGATCTGGTCTTAAGGCTGCACTTGTCGCTGCGAAAAGTTCGCCATGGAGAACTTGTAGTAACCATACTAAACCATTACTCGAGCGTCTTTCTACGAGAAGTCCCTGCCAGAAAAAACGGTCAAATTGGAATGAAACATATTCGCATCCCGAGGAGAGGAATTATAATCTTCCTTAATATAACTTTCATCAAACTACTTCCTCACTCATTTGACGGACACCTGAGGCACACAGGTCAACTCAGTTAGCCTAGGTATGGTTAGGTTATTTATGTGATAGGTCACTATAGTTATGCGTAAGTTGAGCAAGTTATGAAACTAGGTTGGATCCTTATGCATCAGGTTGGGCTATAAGGACAAATTTGATTATTTCAGGTTGGTTAGAACAAGTGCGACCAGGTTAGTTACATCATGAGCAACTTTATTTATGTGAGGGAAAATTATTTAGTTGGGGTAAAGTAAGGCTTAGCGAGAAAATTATTGGAAGTTTTTGCAGCAAGCTATGCCTGTAAGCAGTTTATTAATGTAGACAAGTTATTACTGCAAGTCAGCTATAACAGTAATTTGTTTATTACTGTAAGTAAGGAATGTGTAGGTTATTACAACAAGCAAGTTAATACAGAAAGTAAATTAATACTGTACATTATATACATTGTCACGATATCATAGTTATTACTGTAAGTAAATTATTACTTTGAGTTACTACTGTTCGTCATTAGATACTGCATTAGATTAACTTGTATATACAGGTATTGTCAATTATTTTAGAAGCTACGCCTTCAAAATTAAAAAAAATGGCAAAGAAAATTATAAGACGGCAATGGAAAATAATTTCGCGGAAAATCTGAAACTATATTACTTGGAATGTAGACGAACACTAACACTTCCTAAGGGCCCGACTTGTTACCTTCAGAAGAACCGTAGGCGTAAAAAAAGACGAAAGGTAAACCAAGAGTGAAAGAAGAGGTAGGAGTCACTGAAGTTTAGCACAGCATCAAAAACGACGTGAGGTTAAACAAAAACAACTCATATGGAAATGAAGCACCCTCGTTTCAATAGAGCAACTCAAAGCTCATCACAATTGATCGCTAGACGTCTTCAACGCTCTACAAAATACTCTCTTATATATCTGGAAGGCGGAGAAAACGCTGAAATTATTCGAGAATGATCTACGAAAATCACACAAAAAATATTAGCGTCATACCGGCAAATTTACATTCAAATATCCCATAAACGTAGCCTAAAATACGCACCAACCCAAGCAAAGACCTCGGCACACTCCGTTGAACTTGATACAAGTAAAATTCGGATTTTGAAGACACTGTCGCGCCTCAATTATTTTGCTAAACAAAATCGAAAAAAATAACAATAACCACACGTTCTCAAGTTTGCCATGAACTACCAGCCGACTGAGCACCCACAAATACGCTGGTGAGTAAACCGAAGCGATTGCGTCCATTAAAAGCAAAACTATTTCGCACCTCAGAAAATACCAACCAACGGATAAGAGAAGACATACATTTTGCTTGAATTGGAAAATATTCGCAATGAAATTGCACAAGAAACTTTTTGAACATGATCGGTAAGTGTAAAATTCCGAAAAAAAAGGAAATTCAGTATTCAATGCGGTCTTGAATCACGCCCGAACAATCACAGCTCAATCATCAACGGTGCAAAAAGCAGAATTATAAGACGATGCCAATCAGCCACGTCACGACTGTCCCGAAGCGAGACTTCCGTTGTCGTCGTCGAACGGAAGTCTGCTTTTTCCCATGCAATGGCTGCAGTGCAGAGCCTGGTAGTAAAGGCGGTAAACGGTGCGCCGAAGAAGGAGTAGAAAGACATTATAAAAAAATAAAGTTTCCTCTGAAGTTTGAGGTCCGTAACTCCCTGTTTAAAGAAGAAAACGAACCTGATTTTTCCCGAGAAAGCTGTGCAGAACTTTCGAGAAAGCACCAGTGCTATCACGGGACACGACATAATCGCAGCTGCCGGGTGGACCTTCCAGATCTCGGAAGCTGTAGAACCTCCCAAGAGAATCCACTTGTCCCATCCCGAAATTCCTATGGAAAAAATATAAAAGTTCCATTCAACTTTAAATTATTGCGTACCATTAAAATGTTTACAAGATATATTTTGCAGAAGAATCCATCTAAAGTATATGAAAAACCTTCAGTTTTCTTTTTATGATTTCACACCGGATTGGATTCTAGTCTGATTTTTATCTAGAGCCTCAAGAAAATTGTTCGATGAAAGTTTATCCTCTGGGATTCATTCTGGACGA